GCTTCCTCCTTTGCTACTGTTGTTCCACCACCAGAGGTTGCTGCCACAATAAATGAAAATAGGGGTAGTAATAACCAGTCCTACCAGAAATTACCAATTTGGTTGTTTTTTCCCTTTTTGTCTGACTTCAGATGCTCAGTTGTGTTTTGAACTAAATACTAATATTTTTATGCTAACATGCAAGGTCAACACATTAACTCGCAAGTTAGCATTTTAACATTTATACATATCGACATAGTAAAGGTGTACTATACTGCAGTGGTAGTTTTTGAAGTTCTGAGTTGTTTGTGATGCTGTAGGAAGCCATTGTAACTGCTGTCAATCCAAACTCACTATAGCTGCCGCTGTCTATGAAGGAGGAAGATTCAAAATGTTTTTGAGGTGCCCTGATTGAGAATGCTTACCCTCACTGCTGCTGCCAACCGGATCTAAAAACAGAAAAGACACAACACCAATAATAGAAGTAAAAATTTGTATCTCATTTTAAAGGATATATTCACATATTTTCAAATCTGTCTTTCATATAGTCAGGTGCAATCCTGCTGTTTATACTGGCCATTAAAAGATCCCTTCTTAATGTGCTTCCAATGGAGCATTTCAGATTATCTAAGGCGAATATAAAAGTTAGAATGTTTTTAGTATGCTAATCCTTTGTTGTGTTACTATTCCTCCACAGCACTTAGCTCAGAAACACAGTTTAGGGAAATACACCGCTCAAAAAATTAAGGAAACACTTAATCATCACAGTGCAACATCAAGTCAATTTAACTTTTGGGATATCAATCTGTCCAGATAGAAAGCATAAGCAATTGTGAGTCAGTGTCACTTGTTTAGGTGCAAAATGAAGCGACAACAGGTGAACTTGAGAGGCAGCAGCAAGACAACCCTCAAAAAGGGGATTGTACAGGTGGTGGCCATAGACAATTACGTCTCCTTATCCTTTCTGATCAATTATTCTCTTGTTCTCTAGTTTTGCATTTTGCTAGTATCCTTGTCACCACTGGTAGCATGAGGCAGTACCTGCAGTCAATTAAGCCAGTGCCCTACAAAATGACCTCCAGCAGGCTACTTCCATTGGCTTTTCTTTTGCCTGTTCTCTTCACAGATGAAAGCAGGTTCATACTGAGCACATGTGACAGACGTGAAAGAATCTGGAGATGGCGTGGAGAATGTTATGCTGCCTGCAACATCATCCAGCATGACCAGTGCGGCGGAGGGTCAATGATGGTCTGGCATGGCACATCCTTGGAGGGTCGCACAGGCAGGTAGTCATAGTGTGCAGGCAGTTCCTAGATGACGAAGGTATTGATGCCATTGACAGGCCCTCACTTTCCCCACACACCTGAATCCAATTGTCGTGAGTGCATACAGCTACATGTAGGCCATTAAAACTAACGAGTCACATTATGATTTGCTGTGATGAAAGTCATGCCAGTCGGATCAACATGTGATTTAAATTTTAAGTGGGATTTTGAATCCAGCCCTTCAATCATTTGGTGATTTTTGTCATTTTGTTCACAACAAATTATACAATGTTTTGTTCATCGAGATCTGATGTGTGACGTAAGTGTTCCCTTTGTTTGAGCAGTGTACCCAAACAGAATCTTGTACTATAGGACAATAACTTTGGAAAATATTAACTTGTTTTGATTAAGTTGGGCAGCTAACTGAGAAAATCGTGTACAGAGCACCTAGCACTCAACTCTCTGACTATCTTCCAGGTAGTGACAGAACTTCACTAATAAAAGTAAAAATTGTGTACCTACTTTGGTGGAGAAAGACGTCTATCAGATGCAGTTGACTCTGTTTCCTTCACAATGCAAGGTGCTGTCTCAGTGAATACAGTTAGAAGTGAGTTACATTTTTGTAGAGGACAGCCTGACACGGACAAATCCACATGCCCTTATTTGAACATGTCTCAAAGTATTTGACACACAGCCCTTTGGAGGTCTTTGATTGGCTGATACTATACTTAAGGAAGGGCAGTTTTTTCTATAAAGTAATTTGGTCTAAACAAAACTTAGGAAACCCCACACTTTGCATTTAAGAATCATACTTGTACTTTTCTAAATTTTGTTTTAACTTGATATGTTTTGCTAAGATTGTTTTTGCCATCTTTCATGGGGATTATTATGGAGAGTTATCAGTATTTCTCAAAATGGGGGATTTTTCCTTTAAGTGAGAGACAACACAAATGTGTTTCACAATATTTTATGCATGGAAGTGTTCGTAGAATCAATACAGGTTTAGCTAAGGGGACAACAAACCACCAAAACACACTAACAGATCCACACCTACCATCATATCCCTTGTTATTTGGAGTTGCGTTTGTTTCCACCTGATGAATGTAAGTTCAGTGTTCACTCTTATTTTAGCTCTTTGTTGGTCTCTAGCATATGCGGAGAACAAGTATCTGACACTTTCTTCGAGAGCTAGTGTCTAACTGTGTGTGTCTGCTGTTTGGTGCTGGGCAGGTAGAGGACAGCGTGTTTATCAGAGCTGTTGTCTGCTGCTGCTGGAAGCAAGGATAATGAGAGCGCTGAGACTGAACCAGACATGAAATACACCATCAAACCAAAATAATGAGAGAAAAGAGACTAAAAACTCAGTTGCTTTTTCTTCTGTTGTTGAAAGGCCTTTTGAGACTTTGTGCTTTGTTTCTGATGAACTGTCTTGTGCTATTGTGTATTGCCAAATCGGCCCCTTCATCCTGACTTGCAGATTGAAGATAATACAGCAGAAATACAGAAGGAAATACAGAGTCATGTTACTGCCTACTTGTGCTGTGCGGTAACTCTGACAGCAGGAGCTGGCTGTACCAGCTGTTGTTAAGATAAGTTATAGCGTAACTGTTTACTAAGTTGAGATAAAAAGTAAAACAGGTTGCACTCCACAAACAACTTCTTGTGTAGGATGAGTTCTTACTAAATATTTAAAGAGATAGTCCATTTTTGAAGTGGGCCTGTATTGAGGAACTTATCCATAGTCAGTGTTTTACCTGCAGTATATCAGAATCAGAAATACTTTATTGATCCACGAGGGGAAATTCTGTGTCACAGTTGCACACATTGCACATCAAGGCAAAAGGAATATGAATAAAGATAGAAAGTCAGTATATAAAGAAGTATAGAAATATCAGAGGAAAAATATAAAATACAAGGAATATAAAGGATTGTGGATTTGTACAATATTTACATAAAAAATAATTGTTATGGTGAACAGTAATAATGTATAAACTTTTGCAGCAGAGAGTGTTACACATTAAGTATTTAAACAGGTACTATTGCACTTTGAGCAGCACATCATGGAGTGGGGTGAAGGACATTGTCCAAGATGACAAGTAGTTTGGGTAGCATCCTCCTGTCTGACAGCTCCACCCCATAACGTCACTGGCTTTGCGGATCAGTTTGTTGAGCCTGTTAGCATCTGCTACCCTCAACCTGCTGCTCCAGCATGCACCAGCAAACAGGATAGCTCTGGCCATCACAGACTCATAAAAGATCCTCAGCATCGTCCTGCAGATGTTGAAGGACCTCAGCCTCCTCAAAGAATAGAGACAGCTTTGGTCCTTCCTGCAGAGGGCTTGAGTGTTCTTGGCCCAGTCCAATTTATTGTCAGTGGGCACTCCCAGGTATTTGCAATCCTCCACAATGTCAACGCTGATCCCCTGGATGGAAACAGGGCCCACTGGTGCCTTGCCTATCCTTCGATCCACAACCAGCTCCTTAGTCTTTGTCACGTTGAGCTGCAGATGGTTCTGCTGACACCATGTGACAAAGTCCCCCACCACAGCTCTGTACTCAGCCTCGTCACCCTTGCTGATACATCCAGCCACAGCAGTCATCAGAAAACTTCTGAAGATGGCAGGACATCCACCTGCATCGCTGTCAGCTTCTCACCCAGCAGGGCCGGCCAGATGGTGTTGAAAGCACTGGAGAAGTCAAAGATAATGACCCTCACAGTGCTCGCTGGCTTGTCCAGGTGGGCGTGCAGTTGAGCAGGAAGATGATGCCGTCCTAAACTCGCAGTTGGGGCTGGTAGGCGAGCTGGAGTGGGTCCAGGAGAGGTCTGACCATGGGTCGCAGCTGTTTCAGAACCAGTCCCTCCAAGGTCTTCATAATGTGTGTCAGTGCCACAGGTCTGTAGTCATTGGAGCAACTGGGACGTGGCATCTTTGGCACAGGAACAAGGCAGGATGTCTTCCACAGCACAGGGACCTTTTTGTGGAAGACATCTTGCTTTGTTCCTGTGCTAAGTATATGGTGGTCAGCGTGACCCCAGAAAAGTTGTTTCAGTGTGGAATCTAAGCAATGGACTGCTGTGGACAGGGTCAGTTACCTCTGTTGCAGTTTTGTGTTTTGGTGTGATATGTGTATTTGGGAAATGATTTGTAGGAGCATAGAGTACAATAATACAAGTATTGTAAATACTGAGGATATTTAAGTTAATTTCTTTATTTCAGGTTAAAATGTAAAAATCTGAACATATTCTTGTACAAAATGTAAAAAAAAAAAAATCCTTGGATAGATGCAGAATGTACATACATTAGAATGTGATTGTGAGCATATTGAAATGCTGACATTTGCATTAAGGTCAAAGCACTGTGGTCTCAATTACAGCCTCACATAGCTGCTAGCATGGCTTTAGACTTGTACCCTTTTCCTCCTTTGCGTCTGCTCATTCCTGTCACGATCCTGTCCTGAGCTTTTTTTTTATATTATTATTATTTTGGCCATTCCTTCTCTGTGTTTTGATTTTGGTTCCTCTGTGTCTGGGTTTCAGTCCTGTTTTTGTGTCTTGTTGGGGAGTCTGGGTTTTTGTTCCATGTCTTTGTTCCTAGTCCTGTGCCTTAGTTCATGTCGTAGTATTTGCTTCTAGTTCTTTCTCTGCATCATTTTGGTTTAGTCTGCTCGGTACTCTGTGTTCTAGTTCTGTGTTCTTGTTTAGGTTTTGTCTGTTATGATCCCTGTGTTATAGTTGGTCAATGTTTGTCTGTTTACATGGGTTTCTGTTATTGTCTGAAGTTAGATTCTTGTCTGGTATTTTGTTACATGTGTTCTGTCCTGTCTGTTTTCCCTGTTGGTGTTAGTTTTGTTGTGATCTGTCCGTCTGAGTCTGTCTAGTTAGTTTGTTGTTTCTGATCTGTTACATCTTGTGATATAACCTGTGTTGTGTCTGTTACCCCAGTAATTCCTCTGCATGTCTGTCTCTGTTTTCCCCTGCTCTCTCTCTGCCTGCCTGTGTCTCGTTAGCCTCATGTCACCTGTGTTGCTCCCGGCCCTGCTCGTTAGTCCCTGTGTGTATATATACCTGGTGATTCTGTTTAGTGCTTGTCCAGTCATTGTGGTGTTTTGTAGTGTGATACACTCTGTCATGTGTAGCTCTGTGCTTGTCTTGTCTCCGCCCTGTCTGTCTTGGATCTGTACCCGTTTGGTAGTGATGGGCAAAGCGAGGCTTTATGAAACATTGAAACGTTTGAAGCAATTGTGCCGAAATTGTGTCGAGGCTTCGAAACACTTCGACACCCATCTCCACGGTGACACCTACTGATATCGATTGATATCAACGCATCTTAGTAGGGGTTTCATTGAAACAACGACTGACCAGCATTTACAATTCCAAACGTCTCATCAATACATGAGCAACACGATTTTGGAGAAATCACCATGCAACAAACAAACAAATGCTTTCAGATTGTCTGAGACAGCAGATGGGGATTGCAATAAAATCTTTTTAATAAAACACATCTGTGTGTTGTTTAATAAGTAATCACTGATTTAGCGGACGCTTTTCTCAAAGCAAATCACAATTGCTGTGTCAGAGGGTGCACTTTGGAGCAACTAGAGGTTAAATGTCTTACTCAGTGACACACATATCACAGTAGGAATCGAACCCACATCTCTCACACTAAAGGCATATGTCTTAACCACTACCCTATTCATTTTCACAATCAGAACACTTTATTGATCTACGAGGGTGAATGCTTTGTTGAAGTTGAAGTTAATGAATAGAGAATATAATAAAGTATACAAATCTAAGAATATAGTAATAAATGTGGATATCTACAGTATTACACAGTAGCTTATTAACAGGTGTAATGATAATTAGCAGGAAAGATATAGGCCCTAGTGTAATAATAATTAATAATGAGTGCTGGCAGTGATGAGGTGTAATGGATTAAAAATCCGTAACTGAGTACAGTTGAAGTTGTTTCAAGAATGGTAATGAAAAAATGTCTCACATTTGTTATATGTCAAGAATTGTATTCAGAAATATTCAGCTGTGGCTGAGTCGTGTTTTTTTCATAATCGACATCCCCAGCCTTGGAAAAATTTGGTGACATGGAACATTTGTTGCTGGCAAAAAGTATTTTTTTAGCCTACAGGTACGGATATACTACAGCACGTCGCTCCAATAAATCAAAGGATTGTGTGTCCTTGGAAAAAATCTGTCAAATGAGTTAGAGGCTGATGTGTGGTTTGTTCCAAACACTGTGAATCAAGCGTAGAAGCAGCAGGTGTCCAACCTGTCAAAACAGGGGTGAAACGCACCGAAGCCTCATTCATTGCGGTCACGTGACATTGACGTTTTGAACCACGCTTTGGAGCAGTGTTTCGAAACGTCTGTGCTTCGGGATCTCGACACAGCGTCGACACATCAGTATCGAGCGTTACATTCCCACCGTTTGGTTATCTGTTTAATCCACTCTGCCAGTAAGTGTGCTCGCCTTTTGTTTTGCCACAATAAACCCTTCTGAACTGTACCTGCTCCGCTCTGCGTCCTGCATTTGGGTCCAACAATCTGCCTCACCACACAAACCCTGACAATTCCTCTCCCTTTTCCTCCTCTGTGCCTGTCCTCTTTTGTGTCAGTACCCCTGCCTTCATTTCTAATAATTCCAAAGCATTCACCTGGATTAGAACCATCATTTCCATTACCATTATCAGTGCCACTTAGGGAGGTGGAAACACCTTCACCTGTAGTAAAATAATTTCTTTCGCTGTCATCAGTTTGTGAGGAGGAAACATCATCACCTGTAGGATCAGGGCTTCTTTTTCTTCTGCCACCCCTTCCTCTGCCCATGCCCCCTTCTCTTCCACTGCCACCCTGACCTTGACCTGTGTCTGCATCTATTGCCCAAATAGAAACATATTTGTGAGGAGGAACCACCTCTGCCATTTTGAGGCCTTATAGAATAAGATGACACAAAGCTGCGACCAGGCTTTGTGTCATCTGAAACACAATAGTGCCCAACTTGCATTTATCTGACGCTTTTATCCAAAGTGACTTACAATTGCTATACATGTCAGAGGTCACACACCTTAACAATGAGGGGTTAAGTGTCTTGCTCAGGGACACAATGGTGGGTGGGTCACAGTGGGGAATTGAACCCTGGGTCTCTCACACCAGTCTTATCCATTGCGCCATTACCACCCCAACTTGATTATCACCAGAGCAGCTGCTTCACTGCATTCGATGATTGTTGAAGGGCTCCACTACGGTGTTTGTCAGTATTGATCAAACCGAATATTGTAGAAAACACAACAGCATAATTATCCCATTGACGGATGCAATTTATCCTTTGGAGAATGTTCTCACGATGTGTGTCACTTGAAAATTTTTCAACACAGGCATAAACATAGAAAAGCAACAAATCAGGATCATTAGCATTATTAATGTTGAATAGGTGGTCCAAGTGGTTTACAACGCGTGACTCCGCATGATCAGCTTCTCTATTGGCACGTTTCAGAGCTTTGGCTGCGACCACCCTGGTGGTCTTATTCTTCACATCTTCGCCTGGATCACTTTTAAACACATGCTGAAGAATATCTTTCATTTTTTGGTTCTGGTTGTCCGGGATCCTTACAGCCAGGCTGAACATACCTGTTGATTCATACTTGTCAATCAAAAAACAAAGGCATGGATAAACTGATGAACTTTCTTTGTTGGGAACTCTGGTCTGAGTTGTTGAAAACAAAAGACAATTGACTCTTGCTGATTGAATATTATAATCAAAAATAGCTTATATTTCTGGCAACGTGTGCTATCACTCAACCAAGATGGCAGGCAGGATTGTTTATTCTCTTGGGAATCTCTTGGGTAGGATCTCTTAATAATTAATTTCTTTCAAATTGGTTACCTCTTTTGTGTCATTGTTCAACACTTAAACTAGGCCTAGTATAAATAAATCAAAAAGTCAGCATAGGGAGTTAGTCGGGGGTGGTTGAATGGGTCAAATACAGGATTTTCACCCAGTAGACTGGTGTTCATAGCCAATGGATCTTAACCAAACGTCCACATGTGACGAGTTGGAAGGAAGACCTTGTTGAAATTACAGCTCTAGCCACATTTCTGCAAGGTCTATCTGTACCTTATTGCATCATCCCCCCTCACTGCGGCTTCTAGTGATGGTCTGAACACGTCCTTATGAAGCAAAATTCTTTCAGTAAATGATTAAGAAGTCAACTCACTCTCTCAAGATGCCATTTACAATTGTTGCAAGCCTGTTCTGGTCCACAGCAGCCAAACTGTTTTCAGTGGACAGGAAGAAGGCCAGAGTTACAGTCATCCAGCACAGGCCAGCCATCTGCACACATATCAGAGTGTTGAAAACAGGGGAAATAATACATTTAATGTATATGACAGTGTCAAAATGTAAATACAAATAGGCCTATCTAATCTGCTGCAGGTGCTGCCATTTCACTGACAGTGTTCTATGGTATTAAACACAGGGTATGTCAGCACTTTCCATAATCTTCACATTTATTATTATGCAATATATTAAAATGTACAAAAGAGACACCTTGAAGTTGTTGCTCAGTGTTTGATGTTTAGTAGGACTACTGAAAATCTGGGATATTTAACATTATATATTTTTTTATTTTATTTTATTAAGTGTTGAGAAATTAGGTAGCAGTTTTTAAGGCCAACATTTACTAACCTTTGTGTTTACACACTATATGTACTGAAGTGCATTTGAATGCAGTTGTGATTGCTTAGCTTACAGAAAAGTGAACATAGTACTACATAGTCAACCCAGAGTCACAATGTCAAACTGTATCCAAACCACAGAAACCACAGCATAATCTATTTCTTCATCGTAGATATTAAAGTTCACTTTGCTGTCTGTTACTCTCTCATAAGTTGTGGCTCAGACTAATTCAGGCACACAAATTCTGAGCAGGTTATGAGTATGAAGTGTGTTTACACTGAACAAATGACTAGAAAACATTTGCACTATTCCTTGCAAGTAGTGTACAAACAAGTCAATACTGTACTAACTAACAGGAAACGTGTCAATTGATACATTTCAGTTAAACTGCGACTTTTGAATTTCCCAAGTAGATATCAGAGAACATACCTCCTGTTGTTGTTTGTTTATTTTCATTTGGTTTTTTTTTGTAGATGTGAGTGGAGCCTCCAGTTCCTTTACATAATAGTGTCAATCAAGAGAACATGCAAAAACGCTTCGACTATACTTGAGTCACTTTTAGTGTGAACCTAATGTGGTTGGGCACATATAGAATAAAGTAAAGCTCTCCAGATGACGGGTCAGCTACGACCACTCTCGGCTTCTATAGGGCATAATGCTTCATTAACTTTTTTTGGGAAAACTCAATTAAAGGCCTACTAATTGCATTAGTTGAGAGAGCTTCCTCTTTAGAATCAAGCTAAATACAGCCAAGTGAAAATATTTTACCTTCTTTGTTGGAGACAGCTGTCTGATGGATGCTGTCCACTTCTTCTGTTTTCTTCTCAGTGTTAGAAGTGAAGGTGCTGCTGCGGTGACTACAGTCAGAAGGAAGGGCGTTTTCATAGAGAGCAGTCAAACGCTTAGAGTCATGCCATGCCCTTTTTTGAATATATTTTTCACAACACTGCAGTAGATTCTTTCTTGTCTGTGTCTTTGAAATGTGTCTCAGATTTTACATCATCACCAAAGGAAATCCAATTAGCACTAAATTATATTCACATTTTAATGTATTTAACAAATGTGGTGTGGCTCTGCAATATCCTGGGCCAAGCAGTAATCATATATCACTAAATAATTTAATGCATTAATATCTAAAAATATATATATATATATACATTTAAGGAGACAATTATTTTGTATAAGATGCTTTTGTTGTCATATGCTCAAGAAGAGTACAGAGGAATAGAAATTACTGATCAAACATGTCACTCCAGTTTGCCCTTTTGATCATGATGTAACATCTCATAAACTCTAGTTGACCCAGCTTCATTCATAAAATGGTGGGTTTTCAGTTTTGTTGCTTACGTGTAATCATGCATATCTTCCACCACTGGGTTACGGACTTGTTGTGGCTAACATGTTGCTGGACATGCACACAGTTTCCTACTTACACAACCAGCAGACATGAAGAAACATTGACCTTTATTAAGAGTTGTGTTTTTGTCATCTTAATGAATTCAAAATATTCACTCTTTTTTCTGCGGTTTGGTCTCCACCAACTCTGAGAAAAATATCCTGCTCTTTAGCTGCTAAATGCTCCACTATGTTCACCAGCTAGTCTCTCACTGTGTCTGTCTGCTGTCTGATGCTGAGCACATGGTGTACAGTATCTTTATCAGAGCTTGTTGGATGAAAACAGCTGGAAACAAGGACAATGAGATGCTGAGACTGAACCAGACAAGAAATGTGGTGAAAACCAACACTATGAGCTAAAAGAGGCTAAACAACGGTGCAGGTTATAACTCAGCAGGTTTAAGAAAATAAACAAAATAAGGCAACAAACAGTAATATCATCCATCCATCGTCAACCGCTTATCCTGCGTACAGGGTTGCGGGGGACTGGAGCCAATCCCAGCTGACATTGGGCAAAAGGCAGGGTCCACCCTGGACAGGTCGCCAGTCCATCGCAGAGCCACACATGGACAAACAACCACTCACACCCAAGGACAATTTTTAGAGACACCAGTTAACCTTGCCTGCATGTCTGTGGATGGTGGGAGGAAGCTGGAGCACCCGGAGAGAACCCACACGGACAACATGCAAACTCCCCACAGAAAGGCCTGGAACGACCAAGGTTCAAACCCACGACTTTCTTGCTGTGAGGTGACAGTGCTAACCACTGCACCACCGTGACGCCCCAGTAATATCAAATGAAATGTATGCTGTATGTTTTGTGTTCTTTCTTGTCATTCAGAGTAACTTTATTTTTTTAAATACACATTGTGTACTGTTGCTTAATCCTCAGAACAGTCCTTCGCTTTGTTTATGAAGGAAATGTTTAGTGTTTCTCACAGTAAAACCAACTGTTCACTCTGACTTGCAGATTGAGGACGGAGATAAAGAAGCTTACTCCCTTCTACACTTCTACTGTGAGGTAAAAAAAGAGGAACATAGTGAACGGCACGAACATTTCACAGTTTTACATATTGTAATTTACAGTGCAAAAATGTGGACAGTGTACAGTCTCTCACATGAGGAGAGAAAATAGAAGAAATGGACAGAAAGTGTACAAACAAAAACAAACAAAACAAAGTTTGAAGAATATGTCTCAGCTCTGACCTGTTTCCTGTCCGGCCTTATGAAATTCTCTGCAGTGTCACATGCTGCACTCTGCTGGAACTCAACCCTGAGCTCATTCATGTCATTAACCCTGATGTAAAAGGCCCTGACTTTAGGAAACTCAGAGTTATGGTTCTTAAAAGTGGAGTAACAAAAGTTCAGTTTACGTTCACTGTTTTTACCAGAGCACATTGATTTGTCATTGAGGCTTAATTAAGATGTTGGATGAATTTTCTTCTTCCTCAAACATTTGCAGTTCCGGTTTTTACAAGAATTTCAATTTGCATTGTTTCCATCCATGGCTAATTCTCCACACATTCCTGCATTCCCGTTAAGTCTGCAAAAAATATTCAAATCGTGCATGAGGGCCTTTTGTCGCAAACTGTAGTACTTTATGCACACTTTATGTAATTCCACATCTCTACAGACTTTGACTGAAGGGATAACTCAGAGTTCATAGTGTTGTAACATTTAAACACAGGGTTACCAAGGGAAACCAGGAGGCATTAAAAAAGATAAGTGGCGTTTACATCCAAGTGTTATGAAAAATAAAAAACAAGTAATTTGATTATTAATTAATAAGTCCTCCAGTCCAATCTTTAAGGCAAGACTCAGCAGGAGTATGTTTTGGAAAAATTTTTGTTTTATCCAGTCCATCTCAGTGTTTACAGTAGAGTAATTTAGTGTGTTCTTATATTGTATAGTGTACAGTATAGTTTAGCATGGTGTTGTGTGGTTGAATGTAATGCAGTATCGTGTGGCGTGGTATTTGCGTGCATCTCTCTTTAGACAGACACTGTTAATCTCAATGAGGAAGGAAAGGCTCAGTTAAATTATTAAATGTAACTGTATGTAAGTGAAAAGGATTGTTGTTTAACAAATAAATGAACTGTTAAATGATGGACACACACACATCACAGAATAGATGCTGAGCCAAGCTTTAATCAGAAAGAACAGAATATCTTTCATTTTCCAGTATTTAGTTTAATTATAGAATTGATGAATGGCGTCATAATCAAAGTTATCTCCCCAGACACAAAGAGATATTAAAGAGGTGTTTTAATGCTGAAGGCTTTTAACTGTAAATCACCACAGTGGACGGAGACGTTCCCAATGTTTTGTTTAACCCTCTAAAAGGAGCACCTGCAGGGCCTCTTATGCAGCTTTTCTACAACATGAACATGTGATTGCATCCTTAAAGGCTGGGTATCAAACCATGATATGTCTAAGTCCTGATTGGATTGTCGAAAAGTTGGTAGCGCTTCAGATTCTTTTTTCTTGTCCTTGGCAGAGGCGGAGCCAAATGTTATAAACATTAGGGGCTTTGCCCAAACCTAGGGGTGGTCCGTTTTTCCATTAAGCCTGTTAAATGCACTATTTTTCATGCTGTTTGAGATGATAGAATGCCTAAAAATCTATACACTATCTGAGAAAAAGATAAATGTTTCTATGGAAAATAATTGTCCTGTGGAGCCTTCAGTCTAGTTTTTATTTAATTGTTCTCCAGCTCAAAAAATGTTGAGGATCAGTCATTTTCACTTCTGGCAACTAAAAAGAGACTTAATTTATCTTATGTTACTATTTTTAAGGTATGGTAGAAATATGTAATAAAGTTTCTGATCATCATTGGAGGTGGGAATCACCAATGTGCAGTTAATCCACCTGCTGTGATGCCTGTTCTTCCTCTTCCCTAGCTGACTCATCTGTATGACAAAATAGTCCCTCAAACACAATCAGATCAGCTGACATTAGCTAGTGAGTAATGATAGGTGGATGAAGCATTATGAAGCTTTGGGGCTTTAAGCTAAGCAAACACAGTTGCAGCTGGTGTTGTGTAAAACTTTTAGACTGAGGCCAAAACGCCACCATAACTCGCTGATACCAATAACTTTAGTCTCATGCGTGCAATAAAAGTCAAAAAGTGTTAACCCAACCTGACGGTTGATATTTATGAGGTTCAGACAGTCATATTCATTAAATTAGCCTATTATTACTGTTGTTACATTAGTACAGGAGCATCTCAAATCTAGATAAAATTCTGAATATGGGGTTAAGTTAATTGTGAGCACCAGAACCAGATTGAGAGATTAAAGGCTTAAGACACTTTTGCAGGTGTTTTGAGTTAATTAGCTGATTAGAGCTCTTCTCAGGTTGACATTTCTGTATAATCAATAATTTATTCTGAAAATCTAATAGATTTTGGGATACTAGAGTTTTGATTCTATGAGCTTTAAGCCCTAAACATCACGCCCTGATATGATCATTTGATGCAAGCTCAAGTACAATGTATTGAAACAGTGCTTCACAGGAGGGAAACGAGCCGAACATCACTAATAGCGAGATAATATAACCTAATAACATCTAATTGGGCAGCAATACAGTCACTTAACTCAAGTGTTAGAGCTTTTGCTCTGTTGCTCTTTTCACATCCCTGCAAATCTATGTGACCTGAATCACAGCAGTCCTTAGAAATTATCTTCCCTCCTGCCACCTCCATCACCTGACCTCAAGTGGAGGTCACATGAGGGTGGCTGAGACTAGGTTATGGTTCGTCTGATAAACACTGAGGTGTAATTTGACCACGAGAAGAGCAAATGGTACAACCTGTCCAACCACGTACTCTGTCACAACGGAATATGTTGTCAAGACCGATTGATGTCCCAAGCTGCATAAGGGCTCCCTTTAGGTCCTCCACAAGCATGGGATCACCTTGGCGGGGCTTGAAAACTTTAGAAAACACAAAAGCATAATTTTGCCAATTCTGAATGGGTTTTATGAGGTTGAGAATGTTTCTGGTATTGTTTTCGTTTGTACATCTTGCTGCACAGGGGGAGGCATAAACATAAAAAAGCAACAAATCATCTTTGTCACGATTGTTGACCAAGGTGTTAAAGTGCTGCAGTGTACGGTACTCTGCATGATCAGTTGTACCATCGCGAATGGCAACAGGGCACACTCTCTGTAAATCATCCCATGTCACAACACTGGGACATTGTCTCAGAACATGACGCCATGACACAAGTCCACTAGGACACTGATTCAGAACATTGGGCCACTTTAGAAGTGTAGCTGCAACCACCCTCGTGCCCCTGTAAACGTCACAGTTTACAATCGTGTTCCTCACTTGTTCAGCATTGTCAAGGACTTGATTGACATCATACTTTTTCATAGTATTGTTGTATGGGATGCTCACAGCCAGACTGAACATTGGGAATGTTCTGTTAAAAGAAACAAACAAAAACAAACAGGTATGTTCGATAATTTAAGACACAGCAGAATTATAGAAAGTTGCATACAAGTAAGTACTGAATGGTAAACAAAACTAAACAACAGACTTAAATCATTTTTATTCAAAATATCTGTCAGGTTTGTACTTTAGCTTTCATTTTCATCTATCTGAGCTGGATATGTCATTTTAATTGATACTGTACCCAGTGTTGTGTATAACAGTCCATCAACAGACATGGAATGTTGTAGTGGGTATTAGTGTTGTAGTCAAGACCAAGACCAGAGTTTATCGAGACCGAGACAAGACCAAGACTTTTAGGGGCTGAGAGCAGTCGAGACCAAGACCAGTTCCCTGCATTGTGTGGCACGTAATAAAATGTGGAACGAGATCACAGGTAGTTCTCAAATTGATCTGAAAGATCCACATTCACATTAAAACACCCACATACATATGGACGACTGTGGCTCAGGAGGTAGAGCGGTAGATGTAGTGTAAAAGCGCTGTGAGTGGTCGAAAAGACCAGAAAGGCGCTATACAAAGAGCTGAAATCAACGTAAGCATCACAGGGAGGGGTGTCATTAATTAGGGTTATTAGTTGCATTTAAAGCAATATGTTTATCAAAGTTAGGATGTTAACAAATAAATCAGACAATACAAAAGCAATTTATTGATATTCCCAAAGTTATGGTCTTGACTGGTCTTGAAATAAAATCCTGAGTCCTCAATGTCCGAGACCGAGACAAGACAGAGTACAACAGTGGTCGTGAACGAGACGAGACCAAGACCATCAAAAAGTGGTCAAGAAAAATATTGGTCTCGAGTAGTACAACACTAGTGGGTATACAGTACCTACAGTCTGTGGAGTATATCAGTTTTTGCTCTGTCAGTCTATTGTACATGTTTTTATACATTGTCTGGTCAGTTTCCTTCTTTCTTTTGTTTCTCTCTGATTTAAAGAACATTGTAACTTTAAAAGTGATATAAAAACAACGTTTATGTTACTTACTGACTGCCATCTGGATTCTTGTAGCTTGGCCTGTACCTGCCAAAGAAAACAAGTACAGAACCGAAGTTGAAAAGAAAAAATTGATACGAAAGGATCATAAAATGGAATATTCAACCAGAATTACATTTTCAAAAAATCAATATGGAAAACTAAAATATTAGTAAACAAATGCTACTTGACAATAGTTTTTCATGCGTATTGGTTATTTACATATGGTTATTTATGTTTATATTAACTTTTGATTAAAAAGTACAATTAAATATGTCACTCAGTGTTTCTTATCCTTAACCACCTTAGAAAATCTTTATTCAAAATTGACTATCACTCAAAGTAATATTGTTTTAAATATTTCAATCAAATTTAAACCATATTGTTGCCCCTGTGTTTCCTGTGAATCTACTGCAGTATCAATAATTTGACAAATTAACATTAACAATAATTATTAACTTATACTAAAACTGGAATGGGAGTTGACCTGACAACATATTTATGATTATCTGTTTCTATGAGTTATATATTACTGGCAAACTGACCACATGTCCTTCTTGCTGAGCTTTTATTAAAAGCTGGCTGTTATGTTTGTTAGATAATCAGTAGCCTGGCATCAAATATTCATGTAGGGAGAAGTGACTCCTTTGATTGTACATACTGTTCACGTCACAACACTTCAGAAGAACATGCATGGTAAACAATTTGAAATTTAAACCGCAGCGCCTTGAGGACACATCGATGGTGTTGAAGTGCATCATGTTTGTTTTCCCAGACTACGTTTTAAGCCACTTTAAACCACAGCTAAGCTAATGACAGAGCAACAGCCACTTTACACATACCAGGGTATTTGCAAGAAGCAGAGAATAGAGAGTCGAACAGCTCACCTGTTCACAATATCATCTACAATTCCTACAAGTTGGTTCTGGTCCACAACAGCAGCCAAACAGTTTCCTGCAGACATCAACAAGGCCAGTTTCACAGCCATCCAGCACAGGACAGCCATCTGGACACAGATCAAGTTTATTCAGTTGGATACAACTTAGAACCAGTGTCTGCGCATTTACATACGGTTTCGTGTAAATTTAATCCAGATGATTTCAAGTCTAAATAGTTCAAACACGGGCCTTCATGTCCTTGTGCATCTGCAGCGACTCCTTGCGCATTGAGATGAGAATGCGTTGGTCCCTCTGGATAATTCAGCATTGTTAAGTACAACTAAATGTTGCTAATAAATTTGTCAATATGTTCATATTTAACAATTGAATCAAGTAACCACGATAAAATAATCAAAGAGTCATCTCCACTTTCCGTTAACCATTCCTCTTATACTCTCAATTTCTTTTAGGTCTATTTATACTTTATATTAGAGTGCACGTTTTGTTTGTGTGTATGGTGGATGAGTAGAGACACCTGAACAAAAAATGTACATTATTCTTTATTTTTAGTTTATGTACCCGCAACCAAACTGCGCATCTCCTGTGCTACCCCGTCTCCTCCATGCGCGCACTGTTCAGACATTAAGTTATACAGTAATACAGGCTTCAGGTGGACACACACAGCGTCTGGCTAAACATACAGTCACGGACATTTGACCGCTGTACAACAGGAACAAAATAAATAAAACGTACCTGTTGTTTGTCCAGAAAAGAAACTCTTTAGGTTTCTTTTTAAAACTGTAATCTATTTTGTGCTACATTTACTATTTATACCTTCGTTACAATTAGTCATATAAGTTATTTACTCTGCATTTTGCTGTATTTACCCAAATAAGCTGTCCTCCAAGCTGTTTGCTGTTACGCAGGAGAGCTTTCATCAGTGCGCTTGTGCCAGATATTAATGAGCAGGATGCACACATTATCGAAAAAATAATTCACCCATTCAAGGGAGAAAGTAAATATTGGTGGATAAAACAGGTCTGTTGGGCTTTATGCGTGACGCACAGCTTCCTCCTACTTCATTCAACAACGGGCTGCTTGCCTGTTATTGCCACAGTATTTTTTTACATTGTAAAGACTATGTTCATAGATATTTTAGGAATAATTTTGGGTGTCTGAGCTATTGGATAAGGCAGATCATTTGCAGTCCCCAAGAAAGTGGTTTGGTTGGCTAAAGCCTATCCATATCAAGATAACAACAGATACAGGCAACAATAGGCAAGGCAGCTACGTGTGATATTTTAAAGTGATCTTATTGATAACTTCCTAAAATAAACTTATTGCATTAAACAGAAAAGGCTAAATTATAGAGATCAACATGCAAAGAGCATAAAACCACGTTGCACAGCCGACAGAGGTACTTATTATTCCAAAAAGAGACTTGGACTTGGTTTGGACTTCTTAAGATCTCTGCCTGCACACACTAAACAATCTTAAACAACAAAGTAACTTGTACTTTGAATCTTTATTGACCATGTACTTGTAATATACTTAGTTGTCTGTGAAATAGTAGTTGCCACCAATGTTGAATAGTGAGACAGACTGAGTGTGCATCTTGGCTCTGAGAACAGCAGCTATTTGTAAAGTATCTGTACACAACATCACCTACAGGTGGATCAGGGCGTATTATGTGTATTTAACGATGAATAGCCAACGCGCCACAAAATATCTTGGTTATAGGCTGCAAAATATCTTAGCCAACATTTACAGATAGGTTGGATACAACTTAGAACCAGACTTGTAAGTGCATTTACAGACGGGTTTGTGTAAATTTAATCCAGATGTCTTCAAGGTAAATAGTTAAAACCGACACTGACGTCGTTCTGCGTTTGGAGCAACTCCATTTCAAGGTTGAGTGACGCATCGCAAATGTCTGGACAATAAAATGACATTAATGTGAAGTACACGAAGCCCCTCTGAGTGTTGCTCATTATCCTATCAAAGCTAATTTAATCATTTAATCAGTAACAATAAAATAACCAAAGTTCAATTTCGGTTTAGTCAGCTGCCTCTCTACTCTCTTTTTCTTTCAGGCCTATTTTAAACTAGAGTGCACGTTTTGTTTATGTGTTTATTGGCTGAATAGAGACACCTGAACAAAAATGTACACCTATAAACCTATATAGGCTATGTACCCGCAGCCAAACTGCGCATCACCTGTGCTGCCCCGTCTCCTCCACACCCGCACCGTTCTGACATTAATGAAGTTATAGGCTACAGGTGGACAAAAGAGACGTGGCGTCTGGCTAAACCTACCAGTCACGGACATTTGGTCGCAGTACAAAAGGAACAATAAAGGTAAACATAGGCTACTTACACTTGATTTCGTCCAGAAAACAACAGAGATCCGAAGTGTGAAGCGTTACTGTGCATTCATGGGGTGTCGGAATAATCGGAGAAATGATTACCCGACTTGGAAAATTCACGTGAACCCGCCCTGAAGATAAACAACAAGTCGGATAGTCTGAGAAAATGTTGTAACACGAGTTGTTGACTTCATAGATGTAGAAACATAGCGGATAACAACGTTTGATTAATGGTGCGAAATCATGTATTGGATATAGCCTACTAATAGATGGACTATTAGGTTATAGGCTGGCTGTTAGTTTGCTGTCCATGTAGAGTTACCTAGATTCATTATGTAAGTTATTTATGAGCAGTAGGCCTATTTACAGTAGGCTACACTTAATATTTCAGTGGTAGGCTATATTTTGTCAGAAATTTTCATATTGTTCTTTTTTATTATTATTTAGTAGCCTACAGAGCTCACATTACAAACATATATAGAAACAGAGGATAGATAAATCACAACTTCAGTCACTCCGTTTTTTCTTGTGTGTGAGGAATATCTCTAACACTCATAATGTGACTGGCATTTTCAATGTTTCTAATCTTTTATGGACAACCACTTAATGAAAGAAACAAAACAAAGTTGCGGATTCATTGACAATAAATCTAATTGCAAGTTGCACACCTGATATCTGATATAAATCTCTTCAGTACCTGTTTTATTGGATATATTTGTAAAATCCTGGAAGAGGCTTCTCTTACTTTATTACTTGAACAGTGTAATCTTCCTCTGTGTGCTACTTAACTTCACCATGATGCCCAAACCAAAGATTCTTGTTCACTCATGGTATTTATAAACCAGAGAAAGGCAATTGCCTCAAACCAAAAAACATAAAGTTGCACTGATAAAATGTTTGCAATGGATCACATGACTATGTATGTGAAACGGAGCACAGTGAGCTGGGCTTTCTATGTGGAGTTTGCATGTTCTCTCCGGGTGCTCTGGCTTCCTCACAACATCCAAAGACATGCAGGCTAGGTTGATTGGTGACCCTAAATTGTCCTTAGGTGTGAGTGTGTGTGGTTGTTTGTCTATGTGTACCCCGCCTTTCAACTGATGACAGCTGGGATTGGCTCCAGCACACCCGTACTAACCCTGTACGGTTGATGATGGATAGACACAGACATAACTCCAAATGAATAACAATCTTACTGCGTATCTGTAGCAAAAGTAGTCAAGAGGAAGCAAATGAAGTTTTTTATTTCATCTTTAATCAAATGTGACCCAAAACATCAAAATGTAGAAATAAGGAAAAACAAGCTGCTGGGTCTGCTGCTGCTGAGGAGAAAGGGACTTTGACCTTCTTGCCCCCTTTTTACAGCACAGAGACTGGAACAGCTTGACTGGACCAGGTGCACCTCAAGAGAAATACCACGTAGGACCAGTAGGGAGATAAGTTCATAAATTGTTCTCAACACATAGCTTTATACATTCACATTATGATGCAGTGGAGTAACAGAGAAACATGTTTTCAGAACTGATTTTGGATTTGATAAATTTATAAGGGCCTGCCTTGATGGATGTGTTAAAGTGCGGGTCTATTTGTGGCATTTAAATGAAATGGTGCAGTTTTTAATATAACAATAATAATATAGCGTTTTAAAAAGTACTCAAAGGCACGATATAAGGTAGAAAAGACAAAACAAGATCAGCATAAAAACCACAAAAATGGTAATGATAAAAACTGAAAATAACTATTAAAAAAGGTAAAACCAAAACAGTATGAGAACAGGAAAGAAATAACAACAAAACAGGTTTAGGCAAAATCAATTACAGGTTAGGTTGCCACCCTCCGCTCTTCAGTCCACACTGTCATTTACATACAACTTGAAAAGCTATATACTGTGTATATGTATATATAAATAATTCATTATTAACATTAATATTTTAGACATAAAATTTTCAGTTAGATATTGTAATGTAAGATTTTGCATTTAAGCTTTTCTATTTATTTTTTCAGGATTTATTTTTAAATTTCACTTTTTATTTGCAATTTTATTTTTTGTTGATGTCCACAGGAACTTTTTATATCAATTTGTCATTTTTATATTAAATTTCCTGTTTTATATTCCTTTTTCTTTCTTTTCTTTCTAACTTTTAATTATGGCCTGATTATCCTGAGGAATGAAATATAATTAATCAATTCCCCCTTTCCTTTTTTGAATATATTCACCTTTTGAAATGTTCTGTGTCATTGTCCATGTTTCTGTAGGTGTGAAGATGTGAGACGAAATTATATCAAATCTATGAAATTAGATTGTATTTTTAAAAACGTGGGCGTGACTTTGTGAATAGAGAGCTATAGAGAAATACATGGACTGTTGGCCTCCACACACACTTCACGTTAGGAGGAAGAGGGTAAGGGTTCAATTAATAATCTACACTCAACCAAATTCTATGGAAAGTTGAACAAGGTTTTACCTGCTGAACTCAAAACACACACCTCTGATTGCTCTTTAGCTACAAGCTAACAGTCAAGTGTGGCTAAACATCATAGCAGGGTTAGCTATATTAACTCACATTTGTTGGGAAAACATGTAAGTTATTGCCCCCAAGTTCAACCTGAGTCATCAAAAATATTTTTAAGTTTTACAGGGGAAAAAAGGAGAGGGATTATTGTATAAAAAAGGGTTGGTATGTCACAGTGGATCACAATTTTAAAAAATTGTTACCAAACCATGTCTTATAATTTAAATTTAGAAATCAAAAAGGGTAGTCATTCTTGAAATATCCCACTTGTGCAGGGCACCAGCTAACATATGTGTGGATGTGGATGTGGAAATATGGGTCTTACCATACTGCCCACAAGACGAGGAGTGAGACAGGCTATATATAAACAATGTAATATAGAGTTTGCTTGAAATTATCACTAAACTTGAGTTAATTTTACTAAAATATGTGTCCCATTGAAAAGAATACCATTTATATTGAAAGGACAACAGTTTAGATAAGTCTAAGTTACTTTTACATCCCAGAGAATGAAGTGGGTATCTCACAAAAGTGAGTACACCCCTCACGTTTGTAAGTATTTGATTATATCTTTTCATGTGACAACACTGAAGAAATGACACTTCAATGTAAAGTAGTGAGTGTACAGCTTGTAGAACAGTGTAAATTTTCCGTCCCCTCAAATTAACACGTCACACAGCCATTAATGTCTAAACCGCTGGCAACCAAAGTGAGTACACCCCTTAGAGAAAATGTGCTAATTGGGCCCAAAAACTATTTACTACTATGACTCGTTAGTGTTACAAGGTCTCAGGTGTGAATGGGGAGCAGGTGTGTTAAATTTGGTCTTATCGTTCTCGCACTCCCTCATACTGGCCATGGGAAGTTCAACGTGGCACCTCATGGCAAAGAACTCTGTGGATCTGAAAAAAAGAATGGTTGCTCTACATAAAGATGGCCTAAGCTATGAGAAGATCGCCAAGACCCTGAAACTGTGCTGCAGCATGGGGGCCAAGACCATGCAGTGGTTCAACAGGACAGGTTCGACCAAGGAAATTGAGTGCACGTGCTCAGTGTCCAATCCAGAGGTTGTCTTTGGTAAAAAAGACATACAAGACTACCTACCTAAAAGACAAAAGACTACCTACCAGCATTGCTGCAGAGGTTGAAGGGGTGGGGGGGTCAGCCTGTCAGTGCTCAGACCATACGCCGCACACTGCGTGAAATTGGTCTACATGGCTGTCGTCCCAGGAGGAAGCCTCTTCTAAAGATGATGCACAAGAAAGCCCACAAACAGTTTGCTGAAGACAAGCAGACTAAGGACATTGGTTTACAGCTACCTGTGGTCTGATGAGACCAAGATAAACTTATTTGGTTTAGATGGTGTCAAGTGTGTGTGGCAGCAACCAGGTGAGGAGCACAAAGACAAAGTGTGTCTTGCCTACAGTCAAGCACGGTGGTGGGAGTGTCCTGGTCTGGGACTGCAAGACTGCTGCCGGCACATGTGAGGGGTGTACTCACTTTTGAAATGTAATGTAAATGCATGTCGACCAGTTAACATTATAGCTGTCCACATCTGCTAGCAGATAGGGTTAACCTCCTTTGTGTTGCTTTGGTCTATAGGGACTGAATTGCGTTAAAATGTGTTGACATGGCACACGGATTGTCCTTAAAAGTGGCGTGCTATTTATACGCCATCCCATGATGTGATGTTGACAGAAGAGCTGGGTATTAGCTACCTTTGCAAAGTAAGGTTGATAAAACAACAAATCTAAAATGATAGATTAAACAACAATCCACGTGTTATATTTTTCATTTACTTTGGTGAAATCAAAAGGTAAAATGTCTCTGCTATTAATCAATGTTCATTTTTATGAAAAAGACCTTCCTGATCACTAGAACCCACCTATGCAAGCACATCTTAATATCTACTAAGTCAGTGGTTCTCAAAGTGGTGTCCGGGGACCCCCAGGGGTAGTTCCAGGGGGTCCCAAGCAAAAAGGGGAATACTTTATTTTCAATATAATTCTATCCATGAGCAACAAAGTGACAGAATGTCTGACTATTTTGATTATGGGTTTCATACACTGGGCCCATTTAGTACTAAATTGCATGTGCATTTTAAAATATTGCAAGTGCAATTGTAGTACCTGTTGGGTGATTTACTAAGAATTATTGCGTAGATGACAACAGGAGCAAACACAATAGAGGTCTGTGGTCTAATTTGCAAGGGTTCCCAAATGATTCACAAACAGACTGGATGGATGCTGAGCCAAGCTTCAATCAGAAAATCAGAGGACTTGCTAATGCGGAGGATTGTATTAGGAGCAGAGACTCGGTTTAAACAAAGGACACAACTTCCTCCTCTGACTGTCTACTCCTCGTCCTGATACTGGCACATTACTTCTTAAAATACTCATTGACACACAGAAACTGTCTTGTGAAGATGTTCCAAAAAGTTTTTTACTCAAGAATAAGAGTCTACAGCCATGCACAGAGGTGCTTTGAACTAAATGCTCACATCAGCATGCTAACATGCTTAAAGTGATTATGTTGCATGTTGAAGGTATGTTTAGGCTACAATCTTAGTTTAGCACATTAATATGCTAACATTTGCTATTTAGCTAGAACACAAAGAACAGCTGAGGCTGGCAGGAATGACAATGGTTTTTCCAGGTATTACTCACGGTCCAAAGTATTGGACAGAAAAGTTACCTGAAGATGGTGCTTGATGAAAGGTCAGGTTGTTCAAGGTTTTATAATTTATCTTCTGAGCGCCATAAATGTTTTTTTTAATCAAATGTCGTGGCAATCCAAAAATCTCCTGCTAGCTAGTATGGCTGAGTAGAAACTTCACTTATACAACTCCCAAATTGGACCTTTCTTGAGATTATGTCTCATCTTGTCTTCTGTTCCCTGGGGGGTGGAGCTTCACTGAGAGAATATAGCTGCCCATGGCCTTACTAGGCCAAAAGCCTGCCCATCACACATCAAGCCAGCTGGGTATGGTCATTAGTTTGTAACCAGGATTCAGTTAAAAACATAAAATCTAGATCTGCAGACAAGATAAAATTTCATTTAAGATAAAAGTCTTACTTGACAGAGATCTCACATTGAAGAGAGCCATTTTAAAAGAGTTTGTTCTGGGTGCTGGAGTTGGTGCAGTTGTCCTGATCCTTAAGAGATTACTAATATTTCTGTGTGGGATGTGCACATTTCGGTTTACTGGTCTATGCGTGATGATGACAGGAATAGAAGTCTTTGGAACAGCGCTGGGAGCAGACGGCTTTACATGCCAGCAGGTGGAGACAGTTGTTTGTGGCAGTGAGGCAGAGATCTGTTCAGTGGTGTGTCCAGGTGTGCTGCATGAATGATTAGTCATTCACGTAAGTCATGTGGACTGCACCACATGCTGTATGTGCGCAGCTAACATTTCTGATGGGTTCTGTTTGGGTGAAGTCCGTCTGTCTTAAAAAGAGACATTCTTTGCCAGAAAATATTAAAATTATCCACATAACACACACGATGAGCCCTGCAGGCGGACTGGAGCCAGTCGTGGAGGCCAAGAGTCTACTGAAGCGGCCAGCACCGCGACCAACTGTGGGAATGGGACCAGAGATAAAAACGGACTTTCCACACTGCTTTAAAACGTTAAAAAGACGGTGAAATTCTGATTTTGTCAGCTCAGAATGCTGAAGAGCTGTGTCATTTGTTCCGACATGGACTATCACAGTGCAGGAGATGTAGCCGGTGGAGGAGATGCAACAGTGTCGGCAGGCACTGTCCGCCGAAAGAGATCCGTATCAGGGAGACTCGAAGCCGCAGGTGCATCCGTTGGTTGGACCGGAGTGTCGTTAGACAAGGCTGCATAGCGGTAGGAGAGGCCGATGTGCGGAGGAGAGGCAGCCCCGTCCGAGCCTCTCTTGCAGCCACGGACCACCACTTCAGCCCAGGTTGACTGATGCTTCGGAGTCGAGCAGGAGGAAAGCCTGGGAAGGCTAGAGGGGTCCCATAACACGGTGTCCTGGATGTTAGCGGTTGCGCTAAGAAAAACAATCTGTTTGGCTTGTACTGAAGCTACATCCATAAAGCCAGTCAGCAGGGAATCTTTCTCTTTGAGTTCCTCTGAAAGTCGTCGGATGTCTTCCATAAGGTCAGCAATCTTTTGGTTCGCTTCCTTAAGGAGTGTGCAGTCCTCATGGGGCAGACTTATCTCGGCTAGCATAGTCGCCGGAGCTTTGTTATGGTCAGTAAGTTAGCGTTGATATCGTTTTTACGGTCATCTAGCTTAAAATCCATGTCAGATGACTAAAATCCTTAACCCACATAAAACTCAAGTTAAAAACTTAAGTTAAATAAAAATGATCTAAAAAATGTAATGTAAAAGTGTGAATTAAAACCAGATAAAAGTCAGGTTTAGACAGAGCCTCCGACAAGTAGTTACAGACGCCAATGCATGCGCACTCTGAAACAGTGTCCTTGGGTTGTCAGCTGTTTGAAACGTTAGGCATAGCCCATATGTTTTGTTAAAAACATAGTCCTTGCTGCTGTTATGAATAGGCCTATGATATTAGTTAAAAAGTTGGGGAAGAATGCTTTCTTTGGGGGTGGGGGGTACTGAAAGTAGTGTTTCCCATAATTAGCTTATAATTTGTATAATTATCAACGTGAACCGCAACATATTTCTATTTTTTTTACTAGGCACATTTAAAATCTTATTTGATTGAGGAGCATATATTTGTGCAGCACCTCCTCTCAAGCGCTTGCTCTCTTCTCTCTCTCTCGTGACACCACCGCACCCCATAAAAGGAAACACTGGAAAGTAATATGGTAATGGACGATTAACATAACTACTTACTTTTTTCACCAAGTAATAATTTTACTTTTTTAAGGAATAATAAGTAACTAGTAATATATTACAATTTCTGACTAACTTGCCCAAAACCGGCGTCTGGACGTCCTGGACACATCCTGACCATTTGGCCAAACTGGTGTGTGTGTGTGTGAACTGCATGCTTGGAGATACCTAAAACAATTCATTTGGGCAGAGTTAGGGCTGATATAAAACAATAATGATAATTATCGCAATATAATTTTCCTCAATAACAATATAATAAATGTTCAATATGTCGTCAATAAAAATTTGGTATTAATTAATTTTAATAACGAACAACTTAGCACTTCTATTAAAATATTTATTTTGTTGACAAAAAGGGACTAAAAAAAGATTTAACTTAATTTTACTCATGTATTTGTTGAAAAACAATTTTTATCATAGTAATTTTGAATGTTCTACCTCAGATTTGTTAAGTGATCCACTGTTTGGCATCAAGTGTCACATTCTGACCATAAAGTAAAGTTTAACTACACAATTAACCATCTGGTTTCTTCAATTTACACTCAGGAGCAAAAATCAGCCTTTAAACTTGAAAGAAAAAATTATTTGACATATATTGTGATAATTATCAATATCGAATGATATGAAATGTTTTTATTGAGATAACATTTTTGGCCATATCAACAAAGTTGGTAATTAAAGATATAAAGTATATAAATATAAAGTATAAATATAAAATATTAAGAAAAACTATGTGGATAAGAAAATATATAAAGTAGTATGGATATGCACAATATTTAAATTATTAACAGAATTGTAATAATGAACATAGTGAATAAATAGAAGCAGAAACTATTACACATTGAATATTATTATATTACATTTATTCATTTAGCTGACGCTTTAATCCAAAGCGACTCACAATTGCTATACATGTCAGAGGTCACACGCCTCTGGAGCAACTAGGGGTTAAGTGTCTTGCTTAGTGACACACTGGTGGATGGGTCACAGAGTCGTTGTGGCCCCGCAGTGTTGTTTTTACAACATAGTATTTCCGAATATTAATATTTATAATTTCATTAACAGTAAGTAGGTTCACTATATTAGTGTACATTTGAATAGTTTATTTAAGTCCTTTAACATTAAAATCTGTTTCAAAGACACAATACACATTTTAAAATCATTCGCAATGATGTGACAATCTACTGAAGGAAAACACAAAACGTCAAAACTCTCTTCTGAACACTAAAATTTCTCCTCATGTGAAGTTAAAACACGATTTGTTACACCATTTCAGGTGAAATGAAACATGGCCCTGCTCTTTGGCAAAGTCCACTGAACATTTTACAACCAGCCATAAAACAGGATTGCTGGGAAGGAGGGCAAGATGAACTGTGGACGCCTCTTTAACATCTGTGATTCAGGTGATCAGTTCAGTGTCGGTTTGCAGGTTTTGACAACCAAGCTAATATGGACACCGCTGGTTTGACTCGGATTTGCCTCCTTCTCGTTTTCTCCATTTGTGCGTGTGTCGTTAGGGGAAGTCCAATAGGTGAGTGGAGCCAGAATGGACATGTTTCCTAGAGTTTAGAAAAAGACAAATGCGGCGCAGATTTGATTTAAAACCGTAAACAGAAAGAAAAATTAGAACTATTTCCTGTCTGTGTGAGGGCCCTGGATTTTTTCTTATATTATAATGCTGATTGTGTCAGTACCAAGACACGTTTTTTTGTCCTAAACACAGATAGATACAGATACTCTGTGGCTTGACTTGACCTTGTGTCTGCATTGTATCTGCGTAGACTAAACTACGCTGGCTTAAAACTTTAATTATGCTGTCATATTAGTTTAATCCTGCCTCTCTTTGAGTTTAAGTCCAACGTCAGGTGCAATATGTAAAAAAGAGAACACTACCCTACAAGTGTTATATTTATAATTATTAATCTATGACTCAATGCATTTCAGACAATATGATGTAATAAACATGGTTTTCAGTAAAGTGTAATGCTAAATATACTGAGACACAACCACATTATTATATTTATGCTGATCAAGACAACAAGAGAATTTAAGATAATTTGACAATGGTAAAAACTAATATATACACATAATATATTTTTATGTACTTTAAATAGTTTTGTTTCAGACTTGAAACAATAACTTGTGTTTGTCATTTTGAACCAGTGTAGTTGTTGTGAGCACCACACATAAAAATCTATGTACTGTATTTATTTATTTTAAACGCACAAGGCATATTAATGAACATTTCAGTATAAATATTTATCATCTGTAGCCTCCGGCAGGTCATTACATTACGGAGGTCAATATAAGAAAAGTACAACAAACAATATAAAGAATACAATCCACCACAATAAAATCACATATAAATTGTAAAGTAAATATGTTGTAAAGTGCAAGTTATTAAGATATGCAGTTTAAAGTTTATGCAATTAAGTGCTATTCAGTGCAGTAAAGTGCTGCATCTAGTGTGGGAAAATACAACCAGCCATATGATCCCACAACTCTCATAAACACACACACACACTGTACAGATTCAATTAGTGATCACACAGTTGGTGTGCTTTGAGCCATCATTTAAAATGAGTTTGAATGCAGTGGTAAGTTGTTCCAGATCTCAGTACCGTTAACAAACAATACAGTCTGACCAAATGTTGTGCGTCTTTGTAAGGTACCACACACTCTCCTCCGGAAGAGGCCCTGGTTGCAGTTCTGCCACCACTAGTTGATTTCAGGTTAACATATTCACTTAATGGGGGTGAAGTAAGCCCATGTAAGATTTCTATATTGCATTTGTAAGTGACCCGTTTGTAAAACAGTATTCTACATGAGAAAAGATTGAATAAAGCTGAATAAAGCAACATTCTGGCTGCATTGTCTGGTAGCGATGGTTGTCTGAAGTTATAGAGTAAATTAGACAGTTGTTGCTATTTTTTTGGACATGATTTTTAAAAGTCAATGTGGGATGCACTGTAACACCTGTTTCACTCCAGTTCTTCTTCTTTCAGGAACACATTTGAGTGTGTCCTTTCATTTGGTCGTCATACAAACAGTTTTTTGAAGTTCAGTAGTGCACACAGGCCAGTGCAGATCTAAGAGTTTGTGATGCATCTTAATTAGTCTTTGAAGTCTTGTATTTTTTCTGTTCCTCAAGGTACTTCAGACATAAATTGCGTTGCAGGTAGCAATCAACATGTGGGTGCAGTGGATGAAGGATATACAGGTAAGATAGATATAACATTCATTTAAAATAGCAAAAAGTCACCTCATCCAGCAGCTGGGTCATTTTGCATTTTGAAGTAGATTTCTGAAAAACCCGTTCTGATGAAGCACAATAAGGGAAAGAGTTAGATTTTATTTCCTGCGGCCAAAAACCGTAGCCGCAGGATCAGATTTGTCCTGCAGGCCTCTTACCACAGGGCCATCCTTTATTTTCTTTTGTAGCTTAACAGTAGATCACAACCAGATTAATGTAATTGTATTTCTTCCCTCTGCTTTTCATCTTTTATTGGTGTGCAAGATGCTTTGTGTGCAAAACAATAGCACTGAGTGACACCATACCATCTGGTTAATACCAGGACCAGATTCTCCAATAACAATTCCTTTTTACTATCATTAATAAACAACTTTAGGATACATTTTCATTACCACCCATTTGTTTCTGAGAAATTGTGCTGTGTGGCCGTAGCTGACATGTTTATCCAGTCCTTCTCACAATGCCCTCATGGTGCTGCAGGGGATGTGGAGGTGGTGAAAGGGATCACAGAAGGAAGTGGTGTGAAGCTGGTGCCCTACATCTTCCCCAAACACCTGGAGTTTCTGGAGCTGAGCTTCACACTCGGAGACACCAACGCAACTGTTCGCACCAAGACGCCTCTGGACGCAGACATACTGGCAGATGTGAGTTAGTGAAATCCCGTCTCCTAGAAAGAAAGTTTATATTCTGTTCATGTGCAACAAATCCATTTTGTCGCCTGGATTGTGTTTTCTATCAACATAAATAAAAACATTATTACATTTTATCATTAGTTTACCCATTCATTTATTTGAATAAGGTTTTTTAAAAGTAAATATAGGTATTCGTTAAGGTTAGAGAAGGATTGTGGGTTAAAGGTAAATATCAAGACAAGATGTGTTACTTTGTTAAACATTTAACCCCAAAAAACCTTAACAAAAGTGTTTTTGTAGCACTAAAGGAAAGGTTCACTTTTTGTTTTTATATCTATCTTAAAGCAATACTTACACGCCCATGTGTCATAGAAAAAGTTTTTGGTTGCTGTAATTGATCTTCCTTTCCATGCTAAAGATATTTAATGTAAGTGATGGTGGACAAAATCCACACTATTCTTTTAATATGAGGCTTCAACACTTACTGGGTATCCAGATTCTTTTTAGTGCAAAATTCTCTCTTTGTCTTTTGCTGGACAGTTTCTTTGCTGAGCTGCAGTGGAGGGTGCAGGGTATCAACTCCAGCTTTAAAGATACTTTAATTATATTGAACTCATCTTCAGTGTTAGTTTTGCACTGAATCCTGTAAGTCGTCCCAACAGACCTTACTTTCCCTGTGTTCATGTCTTACAGACTGACAGCACCTTGTATTACTCTGTCATGTGTGACGGCCCAATTAAGGTGGGTAACATGTAAAAGCTGCAGTATACAATACATTAAGAAACCAAATATTTCAAAGTGTGTTTTTACCTTTGCAGTACAATAACACTCGAAAGCTGAAAATCAACGATCTCAATGACCACAGCCCGAAATTTACACAGAACCCCTACAGCAAGACTGTCTCTGAGGTAAGTCACCAAAACCCATGAGTAAGGGGTTGTAGACCCCCTGCATCAGTAGGTGATTTAAGTGGAATGAGGAGGGATGCCCTCCTGCTTAATAGCAAAATTACCACAATTCATCCTGCTTGTGTGCCTTTCGCCCTCTCAATCCTCTAGTAGCAGATAGTGCAGGGGCAGATGGGTTGTTTAGTTGAATGTTAGTCTGTTCTGCCTGACACAGTGATCCTTTATCTGAATGAGGTTTGTACAATCTATGGCCTCGACTGTGGCTCTGAAATATAACTGTGCTGTGTTTTGATAAATCCATGGTGCTGTCTGTTGGTGCTGAAGAAGCAGACAGGTATGTAATTGTGCCTTTTTCTTAGTCCGGCACTTCTGCAGTTTGGTTTTGAAACTATAATATTCTCTGCAGCAGATGGGGTGTGGGAAGGGAAAGTGTGGCAGCAGCCAGGTCAGAAATGAGCAGAACTTGGAGCAAAAGTGCCCTTAAATGCTCATAAACCTTTTATTATATGACAATGTAATGTAATTGGGTGCATTAGGCCATCCCCTCCCTGTTAAAAATGATAAGAAAATTCTATTATTACATAAATAAGCTCATCTGACATATTCTGGGACCACAGCAACAGAATGAGAATATTCACAAATGAATTTATTGACAATACAGCCAGGAAGTTGAAGCTGATGGCTCTGCGGTAGAAATATTCATATGTCCTTAAGACTGAAAAGATACACAACCTGTAAAAAAAAACACAGAGATGTGTTCTGATGATTGGCTAACTTGTCAGTGAGATTAAAATTTATTCCCAAAGTGAAACAGTTAAAAAAAAAAAGATCGGATGGGTTCTTGTGAAATTCCTGCAGATGAAGCCTAAAGAAATTATTTTCTCATCACTCAACAGTAATTTACCACAGGAGTCTTATGTGTCAAGACCAAAACACGATGTTTGGTGTTATTTGCATAAAATGTGCTTTGCCGTTTGATTTTGTCACACAGCATGATCTGTATCAGACTTAAATGTAAATTGTACACTGGCTTGATATGCAGAATCATCGGAATACTATTCTTGTTTGGTGTCAGTATTTTGTGACTCTGGTTTGTGCTGTTTATGTGCTGTGGGTTCACTCAACCGTTTCTTCTTTCAGACACAATCTGTGGACAGCGAAGTTCTTCGAGTGACAGCTGTGGACGCAGACAGCACCATAGAAAACAACTTAGTGACATATTCAATGGTAATTAGATGAACCCGTACTTGAAAAACGACAATGAATCTTTCCATTTACAGCACAGCTTGAAGTATTTACAAAGAGCACCTGAAGTAACGTTAAAATGATAACTTTTAAAGGTTATCCATTCATGGTGCTTCTCACTACACTGTGGAAGCTGAGAGTGGAGTCAGGTGATTATATATATTAACTAAATCCTGTCAAACCAAACCATGATGATAACATATTAAGATATTTCCGCTCATTGCAGTGAGAGTAACAGTGAAGAAAAGAGGCTTCTTGTACAAGAAAATCTGATTTTGTTTTGGCATCTTTGTAGAAACCAGACTTTGGTGGCTGGTTCTGTAGAGCTCAAAACTCTGCAAATAATGAAAAACACAACAAATACATGAAACACAAACAAACTGAACTACTGCAAATGCAACACAGACACACAGAATTATATTTAAATCAATAACTAGATTGAATTAAGATAACTTTATTTAAACAATTATTCATTTTGTCAAGGTGTGTTTTTGCCTCTCGCTAACGGATTCTTACAACAACAAGAAAAAAATGACTTTTATAAATTCTATAAACATACAGAAAAAGAAGTAAAAAATGACTGATCACACTGCTAACGTCATTGTGCTGCTATCTGCTATCATTCAGTTCAGATTAAAAAACTTTAGATAATTTGACTGGAAAATGGAAAAACAAAGTAAAATAAAAAGTCACCTTTGCCACTCTGAGCTTCCACAAGTGTTATAATGAGGAACAATATCCTGTGAGGAATGTGACGGTAACTTTTTTTCATAAGGAGCCAACTTCAGAGGACTTTGTGTTGACCAACTCAGGGGCTCTTATTTTGAAGAGACGTCTGAACTTCAATGTAGTCCAAGAGTACAACTTCAACGTGACGGCTAAGGTGGGTGAAAATATTTACACACAACATCTGCTCATGGAATGGACAGATGTTCTGACTTTAAGAACGCTTCAAAGGTTGGGAATCACCACAAAGTTTTTTTTGTCTCTTTTGTTAACCATATCATCGTGGTAAATCTGAATGAATGATACTTTGGTGCTCATTGTTTCCGTAAAATGAACGTTTAAAGTGTGAAAAATCCAACCGAACTAACGATGTGTAGCATGTCCATATTTGTATGCGCTAAGACCAGGCGTCTAATTGAGACCTGCCTTTACTTGTAAAAACATGCAGCCACACCAGGCCAGTAAAAGGAGCAGGCGTCTAATTGGGACTAATTGGATTGACGTTTTCCAGCTGTGAAGGACATGAGTGCTTGATTGATCTGCGTTGTCTGTTCCATTGTTCACTACAGGATAAGGGGGTTAAAGGACATGGCCGCTGTGTTAATTAACGTAGAGGACTTTGATAATTTGAATCCCTATTTCAGCCACAACATGTACCAGGCTCTTATCTCGGAGAATGAGGTGAGTCACAATGACAACCAACATTTTTTCCCCAAGAATCTATGCAAAAAAAGAAACACAGTGAAAGGTTTTGAGGTTTTGGTGCATTTCACCACAGTTAGTTGTCATTAAATTGTTATGTTTTTATCAATACCGTATGTTTTTATCTGAAAGTGCAATTTTAGGTAGATGTGTTTTTTTTAATTTTTTTTATTTGATCTACAGATTTGTAAAATTAACCTTGTGTGTTATATATTTCAGATTGGGGCTTTTCGAACCATAGAGCCAGAGGCGATAAGGGCTCAGGATGGAGACACTGGGATCAATGTGTCTCTAACTTACAGTATCAGTGCAGGTAAATGACAAGAAATAAAAGCTTTGAATTCAGCTCTTTTGAGGCAAATCGCACTAAATAAAAACACTAAATATTTAACATTCTCTTTGTTTGTTTAGTGTCTCCAGACAAGTATCAGACAAACTTCAACATTAATTCCAACACTGGAGTTGTGTCTGTGGTGACTGCCATAGACAGAGAGGAGATGAACAGCAATGTGATCTCTGTCAGCATAAAGGTACTGACATTTAAATTTGTGATCATTCATGGAGGTACATAACTGAGGTGGCGGCAACAAGCTTCTTTTTACCCAGTTTTAGCCTCAGCTTTTTCACCAAGTACAGCACACGTGGCTTAAAAGTCAGGGAGTCATCAATCATATTACCCAGGTATTTATAAGAGTCACGTAGCATTAGCACCTGATAGACAGAAGAAGTAGTAAGGACAGTGAATAGAGAGTTGAAGTCCATCGATGTTGGGAAATACAACAGTATGCAAGTGCATCAATGCATGTAAATCAGCAATAATTAGCGTCAAAGGCCGGTCACATCTCAACATTTGGTCTTGTTTCTTTGTGATTGGCAGCATCAAAAGCTTAAGGATACGCTGATACCACCCACCCAAGACTGTGACAGCAAATCAAAAACACTGTATTGTGTTTTTCATTAACATAAAGTGGAGAACTGTATGAAACTAAATGAGCTATAAGGATAACTTAGCCCTTCAGTGGACTTCGGTTTGCTTTCATTCAGTGTTGTAAAGTTCACAAAAGTGTAACTTGAATATGAATTTACAACATCCACTGTACCAAATCATCTCATTGCAAAAATATAATTCAGATTGTTGTTAATGCAGATGTAACTCATGGTTGCAGTCTGACCTCTGGTCAATTTATTTCCACATGTTGAGGATAATCAGACAAACTTACTGATGCACTGTAAGAATATGCAAATCAGAAAAAGCTTTATTGCTAAGTAGTTGTTACACTTACAAGGAATTTGCTGTGGTGACTAGGTGAGTAACAATGGACATAATATATAAATAAAATATGAGATTGACAAACCACGTGGATTTGGATTTAAGCAGAATAAGTGAAACTGTTCATATACAGAATACATCACAAAACAAATGAGTCTTAATGAATGATCTGTAACATTTTCTCCCTGCAGGCGGCCCAGGCAGACGACAGTGTGAAGACGGCTGATGCTGTGGTGTCAGTCACTGTTGAGGATGTGAATGATAATGCTCCAAAGTTTGACAAGTCAAACTACTCTCTAACACTTCAGGAAAATTTTCCTCTTGATGCTGTTCTGTTCAAAGCCGTTGTCACTGACCTGGACCAGGTAAGTTTTACTGAAAACCGCATTTGGAAAATGAAGAAATAATTTGTTAAGTAATATCTTACATGATCATCTTTCCCAGGGAGGATTTATGGGGACTTTGCAGATCCTTCCAGTATCTGCTCCTTTCTCTATCACTTCTGATGGGACGGTCAGAGTGAAGAACTCCACGGCTCTGGACAGAGAGACAACTGAAAGCATCACATTTCAGGTAAACTAGATTTTGGATTTAGCATGTAAATCTTTAAAAACAAATATATAGTTTCATTTAAAAGATGCTTTTAGCAAACCCAAACAGGTGGGAATAGTGCATTTGTTGATGATTATTTTCAACAGTGGATTAATCCACATCCACATGGCACTCTAATGAGTATTTGGGGCAGCAGAACAGTATATGTGGAACTGAGACAAATGTTAATAAAGGAACTTGTCAATCAGTGCAACACTGTGGCTCACTGACAACCTCAACATGCACAAAATATTCAGTTTTTTGCCCTTAATCTGAAAAAGGCTGAAGCTGTTTATATGGGTAATGAAAATGAATATTCCGCAATTCCCAGTTTGCTATGGCAAAGTCTTTCATAATGTTTAAAATAGGTGATTATTTGCTTCCGACCAGAAATGTAAGCTTTTCTCTTGAGCGTGCATGTCCATCCCAGCTTTGCAAACTGTGGCCTGGGTGGTTTGTTTACAACACACAGAGCTGACCCTAAACAGGCAAGAGGCCGTGCGGTGCAAACTGCTGTAAAAAGCCCTTTGAGACACACATTGAAAATCCACTATATCCAAAGAATGCTCCTAAAACCCAAATAATATTGGCATATCCCAGATGTTTGAATCAGAAAATGTTACAGCTGGAATAAGGCCAAAATTGACTCCACTGTTTACATGATTGCATCAAATGTGCTATATTGTCATATTCTGAATAATAGTGAAAAAGTAGTGTGCATGAGGTAAACATAGTCATCAATGATTTTTAATCATTTTTGGAGAACAATGGAGCTCTATGGTGCAGAGGAGGAAGATAAATCAAGCTTTGTGTACACAAACAATACCTGTTAGTAGAATACCTTGATCATTGTGGTCTTTTGATGGGCGTTGTTGACAAGAAAAAATATCACCAGAATTATCCTTTAATATACAGTATTTCAGCAAAAGATAAATGTTTTTATTTTCTTTCTTTATCTGCTGCTCTTACTCTGAGCGACTTAACAAGAGAAAGGAATTAGAGGCTCAGTTTCATGACCACTGATGGACAAATTAGACAGTTGAAAGGATTATCACTAAACTAAAAGGTCTACAACTACTTTGAAATTGTGGGAAACAAACAGTTGTATCTGGACCTCTTTATACTTCAAAATTTACTTAAATGGTTTTCTTTTGTTAACTAAAAGATTGAAGCAAAAGAGAAGGATCCACCCAACCATGTCACAGTGGCTCAAGTCAGTGTGACCCTTCTGGATGAGAATGACAACAGTCCTGCATTTACCAGTAGCAAGTACGAGGGAAAGGTGTTTGCAGATCAAACAGTGGGAATGTTGCTGGTCCAGGTGAGTGATTAAAGCAATTATATTCAATGTTACTCGAGTATGTACTGAATCTGAATAATCTAGCAACATAGTCCTGATTACAATATAAATCATGTAATCAGTGTTTATAAGGTCCATTAATTTGATCTACCATTCACATATCTTTGTTTCCAGTGTCAAGCAGGTGACAGCAGCAGCATAGGTACTATAGAAGTACAATATGGTTTTATACAGGGGCCCTGTTAAAGTTGTATGTGAGATTCTGATAGAAATAGATTTATATGAAAATAAAGTTCAGCTTATATTATTTTGAACAGTCCTTGTTTACATTTAAAAGTTGTCATTATTTGCAACATAAATAAGCTGTGGAGTTCCTCAAGGTCCCATTTCAGGTCTCTATTTTTTTCTTCCATTTAAAACTCACTGAGTTCAATGTTATATGTTGTGAACTGGCTGCAATGTCATTTTGATTTGACTTTTTAAGAATTGCTATTAAGATGAAGATTTGTATAACTTATCTCAAAGGTTAAGGCAGAAGATCCAGATGCTGACGCGAATGGGCAGATCAAATACTCTATTGACTTTGGGAACAACGATGGCTACTTCTCAATCGACGAAGACACTGGAAATATCACGCTGGCTAAAACCATTCCTCTGGTGGAAAACAGGATTTTGGAGTTCCCTCTCTACGTAACAGCCACAGATGGTAGATCTTGATTTCTTTGAGTTTCCACCACTACATGCAGCTTGCCAGAAATTCAAGAATCATCTATCCTGATTGTGATGATTCAGCCTGTTATAGTAAAAGAGCAAATCAGCACAATCATAACTGTTTAATCCACAAGAATGATTATTTGTGTGTGGCACAAAGCAGAAATCCAGTCCTACAGTAAATATCAATATCTTTCAAATTACAGTTGGTTCTGTTTCTGTATCAAGGGGCAGAATATTTTTGTTGGACTGCTGTATGTTGGTAGTGAATTCATGTCAAGCCTACACATTTGGCAGTATCACATTCTTTGTGATCATAAAATTGTTATCACGCCCTTATACAGTCTGATGATCTCAGGGACATAGCTTTATTTGCTCCAACTTTACCCCACTTTGATTGAATCGTTCAAAAAGGGTTTTTTCGTTTACATTTTGTAGCCCTGGACCATAGAGAGCTAGTTAAATAAAAGACCCTATTTTGACATTTTGGGGTATAAATGACTACTGTAATAGGTACAAAAGTTTGGAATTTCTTCCTGTAGATCATCAACTCATCATAATGTTGTCCTACACTTACTAAATAATAAATAAAGTATAACAATCTCAACCTGTTGTTGGCAAAAACAAGCACTTTTAATGGACATATATTTGACTGGCACATTTGCCCACAAGTTGCAGCTATTGCAGCCTGTTCCACGGGTGCCAGCTGAGGTGATAAACTGGAAAACCTTTTGTACTCAAAATGTATAAAATACCAGAATTCCCGTTAGCATTGATTTATACTTTTTGTTTACACAAGCTTCAAATAAATCCAGGTTTAACCTCTTGAACACTCAGTGTGAGTGATTAGTTGAGATTTGACACAGCGGCAACTTATGTTTTAATCCTATTTACAGAGTGATAAAACAAACGTTACAAAGTCCTGGGCTAAAATGATGAAGTGGTGGTTGTTTCATTGAACAGCATGTGGAAACCCCTTTTTCAATGGTGGAATCGGGACAATTCAGCAATCACAGCAGTTTACACAGTGATCGGTCAGGTTTGCGGAGGTGTGCAAATATAAATCTAACTTTTCACATAACTACTCTTTGTGATTATCAACCGAGCACTGCAACACCTATTTGTAAGATTCATCCCATCAGGACTACAAAGACAAAAAGTTCAACCTGGTTTGTTTGAAGTATACTGAGGCCTTGGTGCAGTGTTAAAAGCCCTGTGTACAAACCAGCCCTAGACTAACATAGGGGTAACTACAGCTGATTGTGGTAAAGTGTCAGCATGTCAACAGTTCCAGCTGCTCGTCCTAAACACATGCACCTACCTGTAACTGCAGAGACAGAAGGTAACACACTCAATATGTCATTAAGATGTTCTTTTCCACCTCTTCTCTAGGCGGCATCATATCCCGCTCTTCCTCAGCACAGGTGAACATTCGCGCTCCTGGCAACTCTAAGCCTCAGTTTTTACAAAAAGTCTACAGTGGCAGCGTAGAAGAAGAACAGGATCCTGGAGATGTCATTCTCAGGGTAAGTATAATTTGAATTATTGCACATAAATAACTTCTGTATCTCCACAAATTCCATGTAAGTAGTTAGTTAAATAATTTTTTAATCCTGCTCGTCTTCTTTGTGTTCAGGTTAACTTCCTTGCTACAGATGCTGAGCTGCCTGTGACTCTTCGAGTTGATACAGAAGCCGACAAGTTCGCCATCTCCTCCACCGGTGAAATCACCACCAAGGTGAAGCTCGACTACGATGAGGCCCCACACAACTACTCTGTGGCGATCTCCATCTCTGACGGGGTCAACAGTGACAATGCAGTCGTGGTGGTTCGAGTCACTGACATCAACGATAACAGCCCGGTTTTTACCCCCAGCTCTGTCACAAAGACAGTCCCAGAGGACGCAGAGGTAGGAGTCAATGTTACTGTTGTTCCTGCTACAGACAAAGACAGCAGCTTCAACAAGGAGATCAGGTACTCTCTGACAGGAGGAGAGGGGAGGTTCTCTATTGATCCTGTTTCTGGGATGGTGAGTGTGGCTGGTGCACTTGATAGGGAGACCAAGGCTGAGTACAACCTGCTGGTGGTAGCTGAAGACCAGGGTCGACCAGCCAGGTCGGCCACAGCCTCCCTGCTGGTCCAAGTGTCCGACATCAACGATAACGTCCCCAAGTTCTCGGAGGCTGAGTATCAGGTTGAAGTCTTAGAAACAGAGACAGTGGGTACAAGTGTTCTCGTCTTATCAGCTGTAGACCCTGACGAAGGAGCAAACAGGAGAGTTACTTACAGTATTTTCCGGCAAAGTCCCTCATCAGACCCCGCTGTTTTTGAGTTGGACTCTTCCAGCGGGACTCTGCGGCTGGTCCAGCCTCTGGACTACAGTGAGGAGAAGATGTACACCCTGATGGTTCAGGCCTCTGATGCGGGGACCCCCTCTCTGGTTGGGTACAGCTCTGTGGTGGTGAAGGTGAAGGACGTGAACAACAACCCACCTGAGTTCAGAAAGGAAAGCTATGACGTGGCCGTCTCTGAGAACCTGGCCAGCGGTGCGTCCATCCTGACCCTGGAGGTCACTGACAAGGATGAGGTGAGTTAAATCACCTGCTTCTGTGCTGGTTCTAAGCTCAGATTCTTTGTGTGTAGTTGTGTTCTCATGTGTAACTTTAAAAAACCTGCTGTTCTGGTTCACAGTCAGTGCAGTTGCAGGACATTTTGCTCTGTGATTATTAAACGGTAGCAGTGGAGTTAACACTTCTAACCTAAAACGCTCAAACCATACATCTAATATTTCTCCTACATGTTCCTCCGGGCCAGTGGGTCTTTGTGAATCAATTATTTTGCTGGCCTGATTAGTTATGGGAGACTTTTGTTTTGTGTTTGGTGGTGAGGGCATTGTACCAAGATGAAATGCTAAAGATGCTAGAGTTAAAAAAAAAAAAAAAAAAAAGGGAAATCAACATACAACTCCAAATGATGACAGAAGCAGCTTTGAATTTAAAGGCTTTGCATCAGATTAAACCAAAAATGAGATTAAATTTAATCTCCGACTTCAAGTTTGGACCTTGGCACCACTGCGTTACAGTCATAGTAATTTATTAAGACTGTTCCAGTCACTTCTCGGATAATATTTTATGGTACTTCAGATAAGTACCTGCAGCTTTTTCAGTGCTGATACATGAACTATGACTATAAAGTCATCAGAAATATTTAACATGTGTCGATCTTATCTTCATCTTCAGGGTGGATTCTCCAATGGTTACTTCCTCTACACCAACGATACCTTTGACATTAACAAACAAGGGGTGGTTTCGCTGAGGAAGGACGTCACCTTGGACAGAGAGACAAAGGACAGCTATGTATTACAGGTACAACATGATTGTGTTTCCTGTCTCCTGGTTTTTACCTTTTTTAAAAACATTTTATTATTTGGCAAGTGAGTATTTTGACCGTATCATCATTTTTATACATACTTTCTAACTCCAAGCTGTATAAAGCTGAATGCTTATTGGATTGAAGCATATCAGGTGTTGTGTATTTGTGTGATGAGGGAGGGTGTGGCCATTCCCATCACAAGTTTTCTTTTTTTATTAATAAAATACAAAACACATTTGAAAGTCTGTTTAATTAACCAAAACAACCTTGTAAAAACCCTGTCCAACTGCTAACTTTTTGTTTTATGAAACAAACTCCATAAAAAGGTCCTGGAAGAGAGCTAAAGCAGGTAATATCATGTCTGTTTCAGGTCGTGGCGGTGGATCAGGTCACTGACGGTTTGAGATCCACAGCTCAGCTCAACATCACCGTCCTGGACTACAACGACAACGCCCCACAGTTCCCGGCTATACCAGACCTCCTACAGTTCCCTGAGGGCGATTACTCTGAGGAAAATCCAGGAGAAATTTTCACCATCGTGCCCACGGACGCTGACCTCGGCCCCAACGGAGAGGTCACGGTCTCCCTCAGCTCCCCTAACCCACTCTTCAGATTCACAGAGGTGAGGTCAAGAGATAGGATTGTGGAAGTCTGTTTGCTGTCAGTGCTCAGACTCTGAGATCATGTGTTGTGTTGCAGGACGGGACGTTGCTGGCTGTTGGCTCTCTGGATCGGGAGAACAAGGACACTTACGAGCTGGTCGTTAAGGCCTCAGACAAAGGCAGCCCACAGAGAGAGGTAAGAGACAGCTGCAGGATGGAGAGACATGATGCTAATAATGCTAACACACACCTAAACTGTGATGAAATAATGTTTTACTGATGGAAACCCAAGATTTGGTTGTACAAGTCATTTACAGATCTTTTCAAAACTCTGTTTGTGTGAAATTACAGAATTGCAAGTATAACATTGTAGTTTTGCATGATCCATGTTGTGCAATGAAAAAACACTGAACTTATAGATTATGCTGCAATTAAATAGCCAGTTATGAAGGAAAAACACTAAAAGGTTCAGTTACACCCAACATGTAGACTTGTAATCAGATCACACTGAAAAGCTGAACAGCGCTTGGAAGAATTGGTTCACTTCGAAACATGAGTGTCTAAAACTGAAAACCAACACATTTTGAAATGACAGAAATATATTAGTATGAAAAGAGGAAGTAGATTAACACTGAGAGTACCAGAACTGAGCTTATGTTCAACAGACAGTTAAGTTCATAAGTTCATAAGATATAAGGCAGTAACAACGTTCACCAGCATGATGAAGGAGCAGCAGAAGTAGACGATAGATGATGAAGTTTGTGTAGTTTAATAATTGAAATTGTAATTAATTATAATAAACTGATCCAAACATAGATTCAAATCTAAACCTCCCTTACTAAAATAGTTCTTTATTAAACTGCCTCCCGTGCACCAGAACATCACCACCATCAGAGTGAGAATCATCGACGTCAACGACAACAGACCTGAGTTCAGCTCCAGCAGCTACGTCAGCAGCATCCTACTGAAAGACGCAGAGAAAGGGAAGCTGCTGCTGACGCTGTCGGCCACCGACAGAGACGTGGGGAACAACTCGCTCATCACCTACAGGTCAGTTCAGCTGTTATGTCACTGACTCGACCTGCTAACACCAAGCTAAGGAATCAAACTCAGGGTCTGCTGTGGCAGATTTCAAGGACTCAGAAAAGGTGTGTTTTTAACACATCCTAGCTTTAAGTCCTGGTGAAATTCCTTCTTTTTAAACTGTTTCTGCACAAACTCCTGTCTCTAAGAATTTATTATTTATCTGTACACATCAGTTTGTTTCCTCAGACTGACTTATACAAACAGATTTGTTCTTTAGCGGCAATGGATGGATTTGCAGTTTAAATATGACATTATATAAGATAAACTTAATTTTAATTGGCATTATTTGGCACAACTATAGGTCCTCTAACATTGCTGAGGTTATTATCTTTTTGTCTGCTTATTTCCAACAGCAGGACTTGAAACTCTGCAGTGAGAAAGTCTTCTTTTTATTATTAGGTGACATTTTTGTGAATGAAACTTTCCCAAAAACACAACACAGAGGGTGAGAGAGGTTTATAGAGAGGGTTAATGTAACACGAACATGTTTTTGCTTGAAAGCATGAGTGTGTAATCTCCTAGTTTATTTTAAGTTAAATGTGTTCTTTCACTCTCTGCTTTTGTAGTTTCTCTGCAGGAAGTTCCCCATATTTGGCCGTAAACAGTGAGACCGGAGCCGTGACTTTGACCTCTGACCTTGCTGATGTCACAGAGGACACTGTGCTGGTGCAGACAGCCATTGCTGAAGACCACGGCCAGCCTCCTCTGAACTCCACAGGTCAGTCTGACTGCACCAGAAGGTTTTACTCAATGTTAGTAAATTAGCATGTTATCTAGGTTCAAATCACCATCATCATTTATTTAATTAGTATTGTAAGATCTTAAAATGATGATTTTGCATTGATGGAAGTTACTTAAATCAAACTTACAATATTACATTACCATGTAAAAACTTACATTTTAAATAAATAAAACTCCAGTAACTCGTAGTATTATCAGCAAATTATACTTAAAGTATCATAAATCCACCATTGTGTCCCTGAGCAAGACCCTTAACCCCTAGCTGCTTCAGAGGCGTGTGACCTCTGACATGAATAGCAATTGTAAGTAGCTTTGGATAAAAGCATCAGCTAAATGAATAAATGTAAATGAAAGTACTCATTATGCAGAATGGCATTAACACATAATCATCATTTCTGTGTTGTTGCAGCTCATTTGAACTACTTTAGAATCTGAAGGAGCTTTATTGCCAAGTAGTATTTTACACGTGCAAGAAATTTGTTTTGGTGATGAGGTGCTACACTTAGACAAAAATACAGTTAACATAAATAAATGTAGAAATATGTAAATATGGAATAGAAAGAGGCAAGTTATAAAAGAAAAATAAAAGAATACAGAATAAACGTGGCAGATATTATTTACTATTCCAGTAGTTAAAACTATAATTGATCCTATTTTATAAGATGATCACGTTTTGCATCTAAAATACTTTTGTGTCAACCAAACTTAAAATGAGAAGCTCATCACTTCATCTATTCCAGAGGATTTTCCCAGGAAAGACCTTTTTAACCATGTTTAGAAGAACAAACAAAAAGAAAACCTTGCAGAACAACAGTTTCCTCACGATAAAAAGTAGTTTATTTATGTATGTGTGTTGCTTGCAGCCCGTCTCGTCGTCAATCTGAGGCTGGTCAGTCTGGTGGAGGGCGTGGCCTTCAAGAGCTCCTCCTACAACTTCAGCCTACCTGAGAACCAGCCGGCGGGGGTGACTGTGGGGAGCGTCTGGGCCTCCTCAGGAAGTGACATTTATGACGTCGCCTACACGATGAAAACACACACTGACCTGTTCTCCGTTGACGCCAGCGGAGCCATCCTGACCAGAGCACAGCTGGACAAAGAAGAGCAGGACTGGTACATCCTGGAGGTGGAGGCAGTGGACACAAGGACCCCCCCTACGTCAGCCATTGCAATGGTATGATCTGTTGCTTTACAAATATTAGGGTTTTTTTTTAAAAGTGTATTTACAGCTTTGTCCTAAAGACAATATTTCAGGTGATTATTGAAGAAAAGAAGCAGCTAGAAAATCCCTGCAGAGCTCAAATACCTGCACAACCCTTTCACAAACGTTTTTAATAGTCAAAATAAACATAAACATGTGATTTAAAAAACAGTCTGGGAATATGTCTCTGTGAGGGTTATTCCACTTTCTCAGACATGTTCTAGTGAGTATCCACTAGGCTATTGCCAGTAGTGGAAAAGGGATTCAGATCCTTTACTTAAGTGAAAGTACATTTACATTTATTCATTTAGCTGACGCTTTTATCCAAAGCGACTCTTATGTCAGAGGTTGCACGCCTCTGGAGCAACTAGGGGTTAAGTGTCTTGCTCAGGGACACAATGGTGGATGGGTCACAGTGGGGAATTGAACCCGGGTCTCTCACACCAAAGGCAGGGGTCTTAGCCATTGCCACCACCTAAATATATGATATTATACTGATATATGATATCATACTGAAGGAAACAATATTTTTACGCCATTAATCTTATTTTCATTGAAAAACAGAAATGATTATGGTGTGATTTTTGAGGGGACTGGTACCAAACAAAGATGATTTCTTAATACTATGAAGTGACATCTCTGCAGTATGACAATATCTAATTTATAAATTATAACTCTGATCTGGGGCTTGTGGGAAGTGATGTTCGTTAAAGTTTTAAAACATCCCACTCTACACAGATAGAGTGAACGTCATGACACACTGTTCAGTTTACTCTGCAAGGATGATAACAAAAGTCAGAGTGCGCTCTTTCCTTTGAACAGGTAGAGTAACTGGAACTTACTTTGGCTCTGCATACATTTGTCTTACACCAAATAATCCTGGATTTGGTGTGTTTTTCTGCTAAGATAAAAAACAGTAAACACACAAAAAGTGTAACTCTGGTGTCCGAACTGATTCACAGAAGTTCTCTGCTTCCATTTTCTTGTCTCTCAGGTCAGAGTCCAGGTCGAGGACGTAAACGAGTCTCCGTGGTTTTCCCGCGAGGTTTATAAAGCCTCTGTACTCAGCATCGCTCCGTATAAAACCCCCGTCATCCATGTCAAGGTAAACACACCCAGCTTCTGTCACTTTCCATTTGTCAGGAAAATATCCTCATTTCAGGAGACTGTAATAAAACCACAGTGAATGAGATAAGGGCAGAGGCTACATGTGTTGCTCTACAGCACTGTTACTGTGGCAGCGATAAACAGGAGTTGTGTATTTTGTACTGAAAACGCTGAGCCGGCTGTTTTACACTGAGGGTTGTGGTTAATGTGTCAGTGAGCAGCAGTAAAACACGTCACATCAGCAGGGATCTGGATCAGACACGGTGTTATCTGAACGCTCACTGCAACATTTCACAGCTTTTCATGACAGAAACTCTCCGACTGAGTCACTAGCTGAGAGAAACGGCACAGAAATGAGTCATACGTTCAAAGGTTTGAGTCTGTATCTCCAACAACTGAAGTGGAGGCCCAGAGAGGCTGAGTTCAGTAAAGCATGATGGATAAATTCAGCAATTTGAATCCATTTACTGTTAACTTTTGTGTCAACTGTGGAGAATACGGTATGTTAGTCCCATCAAGTGTTTTGAATATTACTCTGATTTCTGATCTGGCTTATTCTTATTCTTTACAACTTTAGATTGGACTCACATGCACAAAATAACACCATTCAGTGTAAAACACTCACAACCAAAATTGAAATGTTTATAACAGATATAGCCACAATATCTCTGTTTTCGTGTTGAGGAACAATGATGTTATTGTTGAAGCTTTTAAAATTCCCTAAAATACTTTCTAATCAAGTATTTGTGAAGTTCTCTTGCTGCTTTGTACGTTATGTTACTTACACAACACAGTTTGTCCACCAGATAGCGCTGACAGCTTTACTTTTCAAACATCTGACCTTAATGAATTGCATTATTTAATTTACTTAAAATAGGCTTCAGACCATGATGTCGGTGAGGAGGGTCAGCTGGTCTACAGTCTCTCAGCAGACAGTCCTTATTTCGACGTGGAGCCGTCCTCAGGTCTGGTGTACGTGGTGTCGGCAGTGGGTCTGGCTGGACAGCAGGCTCAGGTGGAGGTGAAGGCCACAGACCCCCGAGGACTTGAAGCTACAACCAAGGTGGAGGTGAGTGTGGAGGGCTGGGTGGAGTAGTTCACAGCGGCGGAGGAAAAATGTTTAAACATTTTTATAAAGTGAGAAAAACGTCCAGGAGATTCTTCTTATGATTCTTAGTGTTGTTGCCATTTTCTTTCTTCTGAATTAAAGAAACTAAAAAAACAAACAAACAAAGAAACAGCAACAGCTCCAATATCTCAAAACAATGTGACAGTACTGAGTTGGTAAAATTACTTTCACCAAAAATAAGAAATTGCAGAAAGACATGCTGAAGTCATGGTGAGACACTAAGCTGTATATAAAAGTGGAATTAACAAGTGCCCAATTTCAAAAAACACCTAACAATGGTACATTTCACCCACTCTATATCTAAATGAGTGCACTCGACTCTCATGCTGATATAAAATAGATATAAAGGGTGAGAAAAAAATTAAAGACCCTCTTCTGCCCTCCCCTCAATAATGAACCATTAATTAGTCCTTAAGAAATCTGTATAAACTGCAGATGTTAGTGATCTTAATTTATTTTACCATTCCTATAAATTTTGTTCTCATGACTTTTTACATGTAATGAAAAAAAAACAACTTAAGGAGTAAAAAGCATTCGATTCCTACACACCCACAACAGTGCTCTTCTGCCCCCAGGTGGCGGTCCAGGGAGGTGCGAGCAGCACTGACATGGTGGTCATCTCCCTCAACCAGCCTGCCAATGCTGTGGAGAAGAAAGTCCCACAGCTGGAGAAGTAAGCCGAGTTTAGCTCATGATCAATTCATAGTTATTTTTAAAGTGGTCATATTAAAGCGTAATATAACCTTTTTAACTCTCAGGTCTTTAGGTTCGGCTCTGGGCTGGACCGTGGACATCATCGAGGTGTGGAGCGATAACGGAGGAGCCTCTGAGTCCAGATCGCTGAGGGCGGCTGTGAAGACTTTGGTCAGCTTCATCAGTGTCGACGGAAGGGAGGTCGTTTCATCTGAAGAGGTCACAAAGTAAGAGTTAGATTTTTAATATGGTTTGCCAGAGACACATTTAAAGTTAAGGCAAAGCAGTCTGAACATACTTCTATTTTAAATATCTTATATTATAGTTAACTTACATTTAATCTCTGCAGCCCTGCTCCATAAATAAACATAAACGTAAGCAAAATAAAAGTCTGTATTTATCCAAAGAATGAATTTTTAAGAAAAAGTCTTTAACCATATCACTAAACAACCAATGAAATAATATATCTGTATTTTAAGAAAACATTCTCACTTTGTCAAACTTGTTTTCAGGTAACATTTCTTCACATCTCTCAACTGTCATAAGATATGTCATGCGACAGGTCAAAAATCCGATCAATCGTGTTGGAGCTGTTACTCTCAGGTCCGTAACCATGCCTCTGTTATCCATCAGGAAGTTGCAGAGCCAATCAGATGCTGTGAGGGCGGAGCTAGTCAAAGTGTTTGGGGATGGTCTTCAGTTTGACCTAGAAATGAAACCTCAAAGCCCCGCCTCTGACGACCAGGCTGTGGTCATCGCTCTGGGTGTCCTGTTGGGCCTGAGCATGCTGGGATGTATTGTTGCTGTTGCCTTGATCATCGGGTGAGACTGTGAATCATCAACAGATGAATTGTTGAGGATTTAACGCACTAACACTATCTAAGCAGCTTAGCAGGCGACCCGGTGGGCTTTAAGACGTTTTATTCACCCAAAGAACGTCGGTAAAAGCCAGACCAGGCTTCTAATGGAGACCTGCATTTATTTGTCAAAACATGTAGCCACACCAGGCCAGTAAAAGTGACAGGTGTGCAATATTATTTTTTTTTTATAGGTATGTCAGATCATTTACAGATCGTTACCGCTGCTCCAAAAGTGGACAAAAGAATCTGAGAATTGCTGGTTTCATTTTCTTTTGTTTATTGAGTGTTCACTTCCTGCTCCCCATCATGAGCACTATGTGTTCACCTTTCTGCTATTTTGGCTTGAACCTTGGTCGTCCCAGGCCTTTCTGTGTTCTCCTCGTGTGTGCGTAGGGTCTCTCCCACCGTCAAAAGACATGCAGGTTAAATTGGTGACTCTAAATTGCCTGTAGGTGTGAGTGTGGGTGGATTTTAGACGCAGCTGCTCAGATTTCCATCAGGTTTCTGACTTTTACTTTCAGAATTTAGAGTCTATTATTAAATACGTCTCGTGAAGTTATTTTCTTCTCTAAAATCAGAATTAAAGGTTGTAAAAAAGAAACCTCAGAAATATACCATAAAATAATAATTAGGTGAATTGTTTAAAATAACGATAATGAAAATAGATTATATTTGAACAATAGAATAATATAATTGTTTAAATTAAAGGAACAAATTAATAGAGATATTAGATACTAGCTGAAGCTATACTGACAGCACCAGCACACACGATTTTAGATCAGGATGAAGGAAGTTAAATATATCAACATGTGTTTAACCATCTCAGGTTCAAGAGGACCCAGAAACACCAGGAGGATTCTGACAAAGAAAGTTTTGACATCAGCCAACACGCTGAAGGTTACACGTAAGTTCACTGATAAACTTTTCCTGTTAAAATGTCACCACAGTTGTCCGTTTGAAAGATATTTAATAGAAATCCCCCGTTATGTTTCAGGAACTGGTCTCAGAAGATTCCTGAAACATCTGAACAGGTAAATAAAAGGAAAGAAATCTCTCAGATCTACCATGCTGTGTTAATGCCATTGTAAATAAAACATAATTAAGATTAAAGTCTTCTGAAGTTTATATAGATATTTATATTCTTTGATTAAAGTGGAACATTTATTATTAAACTAACAAATTTACGGTAAAAAAACGTGATATTCCCTTATATAATAGTGGTAACTTCACCAGATAAAACCCATTCATTCAGAGAAACACAAATTTCCAAGAACAAAAACTTGGGATAGTCTTTGAGATTAAACTGGGAAATTAACGAGGTAAAACTCACTGATTTAGAGAAAGAAACTCAGAAATGGATGATAAAAAAAAAAACTTGGATTTTCTCATAATGAGTGATTTGTGTTTAGACAAAACAACCGGAGGACGAGCAACAGAGGACGGACAGAAAGGCAGCTCAATGGGACAAACAGGCAGACGATGACTGGACGGTGAAGATGGACAGAGACAGTGTGAGAGTTAAACAGGACAGACAGAAAGATGACATGTCTTCTGTCTGATCTGAACACAGCAGCTTTCAGTCTGTCTGTATGGAGTCTGCAGAGAGCCACTAAAGTAATTTGAGACTTTTTAATTATATCTAATATATAAATTAAAGGAAAACAAAAATTTATTTTAGACCAAAGGCTGTTAAGTGAGTTATAAACTGGAATCAGAGCTTCAAAATCTGTTCGCTACGTAAAAAGCCAGCGTAATAACTTGTTTTTGTGAGATGGCATGAATGGGTTTCTCTAAATCCAAGCTGAACATTCAATTCAATTCAATTTTATTTATATAGCGCCAAATCACAACAACAGTTATCTCACAGCGCTTTTCATAAAAGAGCAGGTCTAGACCGTACTCTATGATGCTATTTACAGAAGCCCAACAGTTCCCACCAAGAGCAGCACTAGGTGACAGAGGCAAGGAAAAACTTCCTTTTAAGAGGCAGAAACCTCGAGCAGAACCATGGCTCAGGGTGGGCGGCCATCTGCCTCGACCGGTTGGGGTGAGAGAGAGAGAGAGAGGGATGTAAGGAGAGAGAGAGGGGAGGGAGTCAGCCTACACAATATACACACAGAGGTACAGACAGTGAAGGTAATGTTGCTATAGACTAAATGAAAAATGGTACAGATATTTATAATAGTAACATGTGACCTCTAATTCTTCCTGTATGATTTATTTATTGCCTTGCTGTGGCTGCTGAGTCTTCTTCTTCTACTACTACTTCTTCTCCATGACTATTAAGAAGCCTCTGAATTAAACCTAGTAAATTGATGTTTCTCTTCAAATTGTATTATTGTTATTTCTCACTTTATAAATGCATAATTTAAGTGCACAATTAATAAAACTGTTTTTAAATGTACAAGTCGACATTAAATTACTCGACTGGGACACTTGAGCCTCCATACAACCAGACACCACAGCAGCTGATTTTATTTTTTAAGTGAAGTGAGAAAAATCCTGATCATAAACATAAATGGCACTTCATATTTCAAATAATTAAAATAAGCCGATTTATTTTGGAAACAGGAAAAACGCTCCTGCTGTGATTCAGTGTCAGATTTCTGTGATTTTTTTTCAACTTAAAGAAAAAATATTTAACACTTGGTAGAATATTTTGGAACAAACATATGTGTTGCTGTAAAGTTTAGGGTTCACTGTGGATCTTTTCTGTCTGCAAGTTTAATTATAAATATTTTACATTGTTACAATTTATTTTACCAATTTTTTACCACAACTCTGCAGGAACACCACTACCTGTGGCACAATGAACAGACCAGAGCCATTATTAAGAGCCAAGAGTAGAGCTTTGGCCACATTTAAGATGAACATCTGACATTGTAACATTATAGATAAGAAGCCTAATAAGTCTCCTTTAATATTTGTGTGTTTGTGTATTGTCTGTCTGTGTATTTGCAGCATTCACACCCAGTGATCAAAGATGTGAACAAAACATCTGAATGTTTCTAGTTCGGAGCAACCAAGCCATTATTCTGCCTCCACTAATGTGACGAAAACTTTAGATTTGTTTTAAAATTGTTTCCTAAAGTCAGAGGGTTTGAACTCAAAACTTGCTTTAACATCAAAAACCCCACATTAGACTTTTACCCGTCCACAGTAATCCAGCTGTGAAACACGGATTATAAAAAGTAAATAAAGCATTTGTTTCATCCGGAGTTGTTTCGTTTCTCTTCATTCTTCATTTCTCTTCTTCGTGTTAAGCACTTTTCATGGATGATGTCCACTACAGTGGATGGATTTTTGGTTATAGTATAATGTCCCGACCACCACGTGGTGGACCCCCAAAGTGTACAATTGGGTTTGGTTTTGGTCACATCTCCGTCATTTGAAGATATTGCAACATAAATTCAAAATAGCGAACGGAAAAGCAGCATCTCAGGTAATAAATACTTTTATTCTCAGAAAACTAAATAAATGTGATGTCAGACATACTTTAATCCGGATTTTAATTATATATTTCTTGTACATTTTTTTCTGTGACTGAAAATACATCGGTCCACTCCTGCAGATGTTATGCGCCGCAGGGTACATTCTGCCTTAGTGTTTTATATTTCACAATTTTTTTGCTGTTGATGCATGGCATCCACTGGAGTGAATTTCAAAGTAAAATATATGGGGGGGGGGGGTTAAGGGCCTAATTTTCAGTCACCTGTTTAAAAGTAAAAACAAACATCTATTTAGGTACACTTGCTTTCATTACATTTTCAGGGCGGCAGAAAATACGACTGCATTCATCCTTAACTCACAAAACTTTACAATAACTAAGTTGCATCATGAGCTGCGACAGACGAGGATTTCAGCATTCTAACTTTAAAATGCAATAAAATAATCTGGTGTAAAACTGGGATAAGCATCTTATTTCACTGATACAAAAACATTTCTCTGTACTCACATACTCGTTACACTTACTGTGTACGTCCTCAGTGCAGAAATCTTGATGCTGATGTGAGCGTCACTCTGCAGCCTGGAAACATTTTAAACTTTTCTGAAAGGACGCAAACTGAGCAGAGGCAAAAAAAAATTAAAAAAACCCTCACAGCACCACATGGATTTCAGTTCATAATTCTTCATATTAAAACTGTTTTTATTAATTTATTCTCTATTAAAATAAAATCAGAAGAAAATCAGAACACAGCAGAAGAAGCGAAAATAAACAATAGATTAATGGAATGTACTTCACTAAAGAAAATAAAAGCTCCAGCTGGTCCAACATGGGGGCTTTATTTCAACCACAGTCAAATAAAGCACCGCTTTTTATATACTCATATATATATAAAGATATTTATATATATATTTATATAGTTTTCATATACACCTTCAGGCAATGACTAGAGAGGATTCTTTACAGAATCAAGTTTCTTGTGGTTCTCTTAATTTACAGGTAAACTTAGTTTCTGGATAATTAAACCACAGAAAAAGTCAAGGCAACTTTCTTTTGCCTCGTTCATAAAGTACAAAACTGGCACAGGACGACCATTTTTTTTTTTTATACACAGTAAAAATGCAATAAAATTAAATTACATAAAGAGGAGACAAAAGTTCTGTAAACCTTTCCCCGTTGCAGCAAATAAAATCACTTTCCAAAACAAGTTCAAATCAGTATAAAACACACAAAAAAACCTTTTTTTTTTTTGCCCTTTGAAAAAAATGTGCTATAGCTTGTACGACGTTTTCTGTTTTTCTTCTTTATCTGTCGAACGAGGGGTCGGCTGCGCGTGGAGTCGGAGGTTTATAGAGCGAAGCGACACGGTGGGAGCCACTGAAGCTGGAAAAACCACCTGACTGAACATCAGCAGAAGGCAACGAACAGCAGCGCACAAACAGCAGAAGAAGAAACCGAAAAACAGGAAACAGTTTTTTCCTCTGAGCAGAATTCAGATTTCTAAAGAGAAAAAAAAAACCTACAGAAAAAAAAAGGTTTTTGTTAGAGATCTCATGGCGGCTGTCAGTTGATGATGTCATGAAGAGGGCGGGCCTTTAACGGACAGTTTGGTAACTATGGCGATGGTGGCTTCCACCGTCCTGTACAGCATGTCTAGCATGTCAGGTGGGGGGCCAGCGCCCGGAAACCCCTGTGAGGAGGGGGTGTGGCTACTGCAGCCCTCTTGCGCCTCCCCCGCCAGCCCAAGGGCTGATGGAAAGGCGCCATCCTCTGAAAGGGGCGGAGCAGAGCTACAGCTGGTCTTAGAGCCCGCCTCCTTCTCTTCCTTCACCTCCTCTGATGTGGCAGACATCGTCTCACCCCTCCTCCCCTCCTGCTGCTCCACCTCCTCTTCACCCGCTGCCACGTGTCGCTGTGGCTCCTCCCCCTGCACAAACCCCTCCCCTGCCTCCTGCAGCAGGGAGGAAGAGGAGGAGAACGAGGAGGAGGATGACGAAGAGGCCTCCATCTTCTCCTCTTTTGGGGAGGAGTCTAGGTTCCCAGAGGAGGTGGGCACAGGGTCAGGAGAGGGCGGGTCCTGCTCGGTGCCCGGGTCGATCAGCGAGGAGGAGTCTCGAGTCTCTGTGTCTGAGGTGCTGGTGGGCGTCAGCGCCTCCTGGTGGTCGGGCTTCGGCTCGTTGCAGGGCGGGAGGGCCGAAGAGGAGGAGGAGGAGGAAGAAGAGGTGGAGGCCACACAGAGCGGCGCCGCTGCATCACCGGCTCTGTCGTCGTCACTGCTCACCCTCCGCCGCTTCACCGGGGTCGCACCTTCATCCTCAGCTGACAGACACAAAAACACACACGTCAGATAACAGAGAATAAATTACCTACACTGCCTAAAATGCCATGATTTTTTTTGTGTGCAGGTTTTTAGTGGAGACTTTTGCCTCCACCTTTACATAATGGACGTTAACGGAATTTAACTTGTGCTGCTCACAGGAACAGGTCTTTTTCAGACAACTGTCCTGTTTACTGTGTTTTCCTGCTAATTTTCAGTCGGTAGTGAAAACTGTTTAGGACTGTCTATAAAGGAGCGTTTGAGTGAAATGACCCTGTAAGTGTTTTCATAAATGGTGCATAAAAGACGTTAAACGTGATGTGTTACTGAACATCTTTTAGAGGACGTTTTAAGTGTCCAACAGGACTGAAAAGAGACACTGAAGCATCGACTCGATGATACGGACTTCTGTTAAAACCACCATGAAATACTGTAAATATCTGATTTAGGGCTGAAACTATTTATCAAAAAAGCATCGACAAATTCTTTGGATCGGGGGTTTCACACGGACATTTGTTACTGTCGCACATCGCGCTTACGCTGTGATCAAGCTAAGACGCTGTGATTTGATGGCGCTGTACTTCTTATACCATTACTCGATGAATCGATTAAATAATCTGTAGAATACTTCAAAAATCATCGTTGGCCGCTGCCCTAATCTGGTTTGACTGGTCAAATATGGAAACTGTATAAGACATTCTTTAAATCTTTTAGGACACCTTCCATTATCATGCTGGCATCCACTCTTGGTTGGTTTCACACCAGTTTACACCTTCAATCACGTGACTGCCAACACTCACATAACTGACGTGTAGCTACACACACGACTCCAGTGAGGTGCTAGAGCCTCCTCATAACATTGAAGCGATCAATAGAAGCATATTTAACAATTCAGTGGAGAAGTACATGATGCGAACGTTTGGATCCATTTCAGCCATGATTTTTTTAACTGCCTTTCTGTCCACAGGGACGATGTAAGGCGGTACAGTTTCCCCACATGCATTAGATTAGAGTTTCTGAATCAGCTAAATGTTTTTCAACTCTAGTAGGACGTGTATGTGTGTCTGTGTTGTACCTTTGGCCTTGTGGTCCTTGGCCTCGAGCTCCAGAGTGCTGCGCTGCTGGACACAAACTCGACAGCGACCCAGCAGCTCCTGCAGGGCGGGGCAGAGGGCCGGGTCGATGGACTGAGGCGGGTGGACGGACAGCAGCAACACCAACGCCCTCAGGTCCTGACACGCAGAGAGAAAGGGAGATAAAAACATGAAAACAACCGGAGCCGTTTCAGTGTATAACAGCAGATAAGAAGTGCTGTTAGGTCTGTGCTCGTACAGCGTTGAGCAGGCCACTGGTCTTGCTGAGCTCCAGGCGGTGAGCTGCCAGTTCAGGCTGCAGGCTGCTCTGTTCACTCAGCAGGTTCGTCACCAGAACACCGATCAGGTTGGAGCAGCTGGGGCCGGACAGCACCTGGACCTACATGCACAGACAAATTGGTTGCTAAAGTGCCATCATCAGGTGATCCCACAGGCTGATGTCTTTCTTCAACAAACAAAAACATACGACATCAGAACAATTTAAAGACGCTAAAAATCACAAAGTAACTGAGAGCTTGGTGCATTTTCACTCCTTAACATCCTGTTTTTAACAAATGCCGCTAACGTGAATGGGGGTAAAATTGTAACCGTGCGGCTGGTGTAGCCTTTTCAAATGTAATCGACCGAATGGATCACATTCTGATAGTGAAACAAGTCGTTTCGCTCGGGTTGTGACGGTCAAATATATGGATCCACCGTGTTACAGCCGCCGTTTTGGCCGCTAGTAAAAGTTACTTCAAAGCACGGGGCACTTCCTGTCTGCTCGGAGGCATTGCGAGGCTACCCAGCTGACCAATCACAGAGCTTACGGTCCGCATCACCTCAACGTGTAGTTACATTTTTGAGGAGGTGCTGGTCAGGCTACGCCGTAGGGTGGGGGGCTACGGAGAGGCTACGCCGTCGATTTGATGCAGAAATATAAATTGCACTTCAGTCACTACTGCCTGTGCCAGCGTGTAGGAGAAGCTATGGTGTCCGACACGCTCTGTCTGCTCTTGTGCTAAATAATACACGTGGTCCTCTATATGTCCTCTAGATGTTTCACATCTCTTCTTACTTCTAATAAACCAGACGACTACTAGTACTACTTCTTCTTTTATTCAACGTAGTGACGAAATGCGCTCTGTAGGGCAGTTTGTCCGTTTGGGCTACAGTACAAACCAGGTGAAGAACTTTCTCACTGTAAGGCTAACCGCTGCACCACCAAAAATACAAAGTGGGGACAAACATCTAAAGAAAGTTCCAGCTTTGTTTCCGTACCTTGTGCAGGAAACAGGTGAGGAAGGAGTAGGCCACGTTGTTGTTGAGAAATGTCCTCTCGTCCATCAGGATACATTTGATGTACTCGCTGAAGGCCGGATC